GCAGAAATTTTGCGCACGTTGACTCTAATGGAACACGTACAGATCTTACCAGTTGCACTTATATTTCTAGGAGATGAAGAAACAGGGTGAAACTTTGTTGCCTTGTGTATATCCTGCAGGAAATGAACAGTTACTATGATGTCGCGAAAAATTATTTAACTCCACTAGTATTAAATAGTACTAAAGTACCTTGACAACTTCATCGGAAACAACACCAGAAAACTGACTAGAATCCTCTGTGCCTCCGGCACCGAGCATTCCCCTTGACAACCAGTTCAACCACCCACGCGACTTATTTGATGTAGGATCATCGCTCTGTTCCTTTTCAGAGCCAGTGGCACCACTTGCTCCCATGTTCACAGTCAATTCTGAACAAGCTTCCTGCATAATAAGATCAGTAAACAAAAGGCAAAAGGGAAGAAAAGGAAATGCCTGAGGTACGACATCAGCATATCTGTGATAAGGGGATATATATCTGAACAAGATTTGGTGCCTCTTTCAAAATATAAAATGCGACGACAGCAGCCTAATTTACCATACCTGCATCTCACCTTCTGCTGCAGACCTATAACTTAAGATATCATCGATATCAGACTTCTTCTCCACTTCTTCCAAACCCAAAAGGATAGCATCATCGATTGACTGCAGTCAGAGGCATAAAACACACCCATATTAGTAGAGAAGCAACTAGACAAGGAAAACTCTGGTTTGAAAAGCTACAGAAGAAACAGCTATAACAACAATTCAGTATCAAGTTAGAAAGGCTAAGCGTTAACTGAACAAATATGTCCAGCGTAAATCACCTTAGCAACATGTGATGGGGACTAAGGCAAGGCACCAAAAAAATTTTATGAAAGAGAACTATGTATTTATTTCAGCCAGAAATTTCAGAACAACTACATTTCCCATGATGATAAGCTTCTATAGAGTATTTTGAAGGTCTTAACCCAGGTCTTCCGCAATCTTTTTATCTCCATCTGATTCCAACATTCTACCAACTATAAAGCTCCCTTACACTGCTAGCGCAACCTATGATATGAAACGGAATATACCATTCGCAAGGAAGCATGTGCCTAAGATATAATATAAAACACATCGAAATGACAAACTACTTATGCTCTCTAATTTTGTTAATCACATAAAATATTATACAGGCTAGGTTAGCTATATATCCTCTACGTTGAATTCAACAGGCTAGGTTAGCTAATCTCATGCAGTTAAACAAAGAGGAGGATAAGAAGCAACATAATGAACATACTCAGACACATCTAATCAGATAAGGACGAAAAGAAGATTCTTGCCTGCTCTCTGCGAAGGAAATCTAGCTTTATCTTGTAAAAGTTTATATACCTCCTGCGCATTCTCCTGGTTTTTTTCACGAAAAAAAAGCCTGAAAACTAAGCAGCCCGCTTGAATATATTGCAGGAGTATTTTTCTACTAGGGCCATGAAGTAAGTTATTTGCGTCGAAGTCAATTATGCAGAAATATTAAGAGCATTTTATATATTGTAACTGCTATGGGATTAAGCACCATCCAATTCTAAAAAATGAAAAGATGTCAAGAAAGTAAACTTACATTCGCTCTCCAAGAAATCTCCATGAAGTTTTCCACAGTTTCTTCCGTACATCAGATAAAATTGATTTTTGGGCATACTGCCACCAGAATTTCTGCCACCCTGGTGATTTCCTCGATAAGGAACTGGAGCAGGGACGATACCGCCCATACCTAAACCATTTAATATATTCTTAAATCGACAGCTCTTAAAAATGTTCTGTAGTACCAAATAATAGAGGTAAATCTCAGAATAATAAAAGTTTAGATAGAGGAAAAATTATCACTACCCTAATGAAAGGCCTACCTCTCACGCAGTTCACTGGTTTGCAAGTAATCTAACAGAATAAGAATCTGCTGCAATTGAAATTCATTCAGAGTCATGACCTGAAACGCATAAGTGGAAGTTAGAATGAGTATCTTAGCTCTTAACACAGTTTAGCAATTTCTGAGAACTAACCACGTCAGTCAGCTCCGCGCTGATAGAATACTGAGGTAGATCGTCATAAAGCTCTCCAGATCGATTGACCTATACAAAGATGTGCATTAGGCAAAATAAAAAATGCATATTTATACACAGAACACAAATGCACCCAAGTAACAGCTGATGCACATGCAACAATGGGCGTTCAGTATAAATATTTATCTTTAATCAGATAAGCTGAAATAAATAGAATTGATGGTGAACAATAATAGAATCGACAAAAATGCAGTGAAAATCATTCTTGGTAACACTGATAGATAACAATGTCATCAAAAGTGCACTACTGGAACAAATAAATGAGTTCAGCCTGGACTATGTGCTTAGTTTATCAAAAAAGGAATTAGTTTCCTAGAAAGATATAGCATACAACTGTGTGCAGCTCAAGTTTAGCATAACCCTAAAGCTAGAGCAAGAATGCAGCGCCTTAGAGCAGCAACAAAGCTTTGATGATAAAGACAGATGTTAAATCAAAGTAAACCAGTGACGCTCTTTTAGCTGCATTACCAATAGTGTTACAGAAGCATGGACTGGCTTCAATAAATAACCAAATTTATCGCTTTGCAATCTCGACTGGCACCAGTTGTCAAAACCTCCCTTTTTATCAACGCTTAGAAAGTCCATGTTTCCCTCATACATGTCGCAATAAATTTCCAAAGCATCAATCTCCACAAGTTTATTCACTTGCCCCCCTCTCATCCTACCAACTGATGGCCTGATATGCAACATAGACGCCATGTCAACATATATCGGGGTGCGCACATACCAAGTACAGATCTTGGCTTTAACGGAAAACAAGAATTACTTCATGGAAGAAATAGGTATTAAGGAAAAACTGTAGTAAATAAAGAGGCAGTTGGGAATATTGGGATATGCTCTTTGCTGTCTCACAATGTAATTCAAAACACATCTCTTTACCATAGAACGAAGCAAGCTACAAGGAAATTAAACACGAAAGTGTAATATATTTCTATTGAGTGCCATAGAAGGTGTATCGAGAGATTACCCAACTGGGTTTTGTTTAGAAACTGTCAAGCTTGAAAACCGCAATCCCAATACAACTTGTACCTGCAGACAGCAACTGACAGTTACACATATGAAAGTGGGAAAGTAGACAACATAAATGATGATACAAGTTGTAACTCTAGTGAATCGCAAGAAAGACTGATAGTAGTTTAGCATCAACCAGCTCATAAACCTGACGCTATCTAAATTTGTATCCTCCATGATTAATGCTCTCAAGAATGAGCCAACACTACATTAAGCTATCAATGTATATATAAGTTTCCACGAATTGCAAATGGAGAACATTGAATGACAAGCCTACATTCTAATAACCTAATTAAACTGAACAAGCAGGAGACTCACCGGTTCAGGTTGTGCATCAGAGTATAAGACGTGAAAGTTTCTGATGGACAGTTGAATGCTATCAAGAATCTAAGCCAATAAAAAAAAGGAAAGTTAACATAGTAGAAAGAATCATAGACCAAACATAATATGAAAAATGTAAGATGCTTAAAATTAAGGGAAGCATAGCAGAACATAATGTCACCTTGGCTGCAATATATGACATAAAAGGATTCCCTGCTGGACTGTCTGGATAAGATAAAAAAAGAAGGTGATGACCAAATGTAACATAAGAGAAATCTTTCAAAGTTAAAAACAATTAGTGCAATGTAACGGAAACCATCGAGACTTCAATGAAGTGGGAGAGGAAGTATATTGCTCACCGAAGACACGCCTGGACAATTTTGCCAGTTCTGCAGCAGCAAGCTTAGCTTTCTTACCAGCAAACTCTCTTTTCTCAACCACATCTGAACTCCACTGCAATGGCCGTAGAAACAATTGAGATTAAAGGCAAAACGCTTGTTGTTATGTACATAAGAAGGAATAGTTTACAGGGAAATTACCTCTTGATCATTGCGTTGTGATGCACATATAAAGACATCTTCAAGCATAATGATGATGGGATCCCTGCCAAGCTTCTTCCATGGAATCTTAATGCTCAATTTCCCAACACGGCCTGTAAGATTTGATCCAGAGAAAGCAAATTAAAAGCATCAGATAGAGAGAAGGCTGACAGAATCTAACAAAAACCAGCTTCAATCAATCATATAACCTTGCTTGAGAGCGATTGGTAGCTGCAAATAGTCGAACGCTTCAAGAATCAGCTCCACGTTCTCCAATAACACTTCCTCTTCAGTCAGAAACACACAAAAATGTAAGTCTATCATCCATTAGAGAGAATTTGATGCTCGTTGAACGGAAAACCGAGAGAAAGAGAACGAAAGAAGACGAAGATGTGAAATACCATTCCAGACAGTGATCTTGAGCTGGTCCTTCTGGATGTCTTTGATGTAGCGACCTAGGTAACCTAGCAAAAGCTGTCGCACAAGCCCTTCAAACATCTTTCAGCCTCTATTTCATTATCCAGAGATTGAAAACGAGATATCGAGTTTTCTCCGGCGGGAGAATAACTGAAGCAGACGGTGGTCGAGGAAATCGTAGGGTTTTTCCTCTGCGTCGAAACAGAGACTGTATCGTCTCTTCTCTCCACAAGACGAACGAAGGATTCTTCTTTCGGTTTCGTCCCCTCCACGCCGAACCGAACCAGACCAAACCTGACCGATGTTTAAATAAATTTGGTTACACTGACCGGTTAAGTTTAATTGAGTTTTTCGCTTTTAACAGAGTTGGTTTTTTTTACTTCGAGTTGATTAAGTGACTCTTTTAACACACTGATTTTGTTAAGGACTCTTTAACACATTGATTTTGTTAGGGACTCTTTAACACACTGTTACAAATGACGCTGTGTAGTGTCGCCGTCGTATCAAATCTATCTCGTTGATCATTTTGAATTTGGGGGTAAATTTGAATCATATTAGCTTTGTTTTATAGTTGCTAACAATCAGTTATGCATTGATCACAACCGCTTGATATAAGCTTTACGGTGTCTATGACTTAGGCTCATCCAAATATTCGGTTGCTGCCTGAAACTTCACACACCTCTTCTCTAAGCACTTTCACAGCTTCTGAGACTCCATCCTGAAATTATAAATTTTGGACACCCATAAGCCATCAGATGACAGAAACTACGAAGGAGAAGAGAGGATACTTTGATTTTGGGCCATGGATCAGTAGGGGAAAATCAGTTACCTCAAGAGATAATATCTCAGCGATTTCAGTGGCACGAGCTTTGGTTTTTGCAGACACTGCATCGTATATGGCTTTTGCTACAACTTGTGCAGCTTCCATAATGTTCTCATCATTTGTTTCTTCCAGAAGCAGGTGGTTCCTTTGCAATGGTTGAGGAGCAACCCCGAGCCAAGACATCTTTTCTGCCCAATAGAACTGATCCAGCATAAACGGACATATGATCTGTAGAAATACATATACAGACTTTCTGTTGTCGCGTTATTGGGCATTACAACTTGAGATTCATTTAAATGGACACCACAATACTAGCCTATCAAATAAAGCTTTAAGGAAAAGAATTCAAAAACGTTACTCATCATTTGTAAAAATGGTTTATGAACAAAGACTACTGAGGTTTACTGCAGCTTAACTAAAGAGCAGGCACATGGTTAAAGGGCCATGGTATGTTCTTCTAATGTGTCGACACAGAATTTCTCAATCGTACTAGTAATCATACAACTTAAAATCTACTGGTCTTTGCCAAATCAAATACAAATACGTCCAAAGATAATATAAGTTCATGGAACTGAAACAAACCTGCGGGATTCCAGCATGTAATGCTGCAGCTGTAGAACCACTATTTCCACAGGGAGACATTTTTATATAAAAACACGACAAAAAAAACCAGTTCTCATATATGACCTAGTTCGTTAAGGAAAGAGCATCCAGCTGAAAAAATTTCACCTGCCACCATGATGAATTGCAGCAGCACATCTTTGAAATAGCCAATTGTATGGCACCATACTAACTCAGATTATAGACAAAGAGAGATGTATGTTATTAGGGCTACAGGAATATTTACATATGACATGTCCTATATAGTGATCATGTTAAAAATCAGTTAAAAATTGCGCAAGTTTGTACTCACCCAGAGAAGCAGAAAAGCTTGCCGTTGAAGATAGAGATTCCCGCATGTAAAGATTGTTTCGCACTTGAAGCAGTTTCCTTAGCAATGGTCCAAATTGCTGCATCTAAAGGTTCATAACCCGCTGTGAAAATGATTATTCTGTATCCTGTAATCTGGATAACAGACTGGAGAACTCGAAGAAAGGCCATGGGATTCTTCAGAAAACCCATGCTGCGAAAGCAAAGAGAAAACGAAATTAATCCCTTACAATAGTGAAACGAAATCTAATTTGGCATGTGTTAGCTATCTGACAAGACTAGATATGAGTGTTCTTCTGACGAAATATATCGAAAACATGGAAATCAGAAACGACATAGAGGGATCAACTTAAGTTTAGACCTTCCAACAGAACTCAACCCTACAAAGATAGGCAGAGTTGGCTCTAAAGACGATACAAAAGTATAAAACTCAGTGTGGTTTGAGCATGTACGGGAATCGTCTGCAGAAGGATCGTCTCCACACTTGTTGCATGAAAACTGCCACTCGTTGGGCAGAAACCAAAAACCACAGACTCGAACACTCAACGGCCAGTAATCTGTTCATACGAGCAAAATCAATGCAGTGAGATGCAAAGAACGAAGCTTTTGCCAGGCCAATGGCTATTGCTGTGAGGATTTGTAATGTGTTCTCAGGGCAGAAAAAAAAACAAGACAGTCAAACATCATACATACCAGGGCACTCGACAATTTCTTTGCTGAAACCATACCTGTCACAAGAAATTAAGTAACACGTCACCTACAAGCTTATGCAATGTCATGTGGTTCAACATTAATATCAGTACTGTATTGCAGCTATATTACTATAAGTTTTAAAAAGGCTTAAAATTTGAGTAAAAATCAGCCAGTGTTAGTATATTAAATGGGTTTATGTATGAAGATAAAAATCTTGATGGGAAGATAGACTGCAAAGTGATCAGATGTTACCACCAAGAGAATTCACAACTCACAAGACCAGTGGAGATGGCGGCCGGATATGCCAAACTGGAAGGTCTGTTACTGGATCCTGCACCCAATGAGTAGATCAGGTGGCAGATGACACAAAAAATTTGGTAATAAAATGTATCCATGGAGGTCTCTATGTTTTAAAGAAAATCCTACTGCAAAAGGGTAACAACTTAGGTTGAGTTCCTCATATCGCCATGATCCCCATTCTTCAGTAAAAAGAGGCCACATCCAATGAATTACATCACTCCAGCTAACCTTCAAAAACATATTACAATAATTCAGGAGAAAATAACACCAATGATATGTTTGTATCACAATCATATGGCATACCTTGCCGATGGGGGGTTCTTTCAAGTACTTGTATAGCTCCGGAAGTTCCTTCTTAAACTGTCTTTCAAAGCCTGAAGGTGGACTGTGCAACAGAGGAATTGCAAGTGGTCATCTTCCATTTCTAGGATGTCGAGATCATACTTCCAAGCTATGAAATTACCTATACGGAACAACATAAGGAGCTGCCACCACACAACGGATCTGGAAAAGTTCTGCAAGGCTCCATCCTTCCTAAAAGTAAGTAAAGTCAGAAGAACAGTGTTAGTCTTTCTTAACCCATGATCGAAATCATCATTCAGAATTCAGCTTTTTTGTTACTGAAATGATGCAAAACTGTTGTCACTGATAGAGATGTACCAATGCAAAGAAATTAATGACAACGACATCACCCTCCATACAAGGACCCTTTCTGAAAAAGCTTCCGAATGCAGAACGACACTCTTGTCTGTGTTCCCTTTGTATCCTTCGTTTTTCCTCCAAAAAGAGTGTCCTTGTTGAGTCTGAACGAAACCCACAAAAGAATAAAGAAGGAAACAACAGTATGAATGAAGAAAAACCAGAACTGGAAGAAGAAATCAACATAAGAATGTTGACCTGTGACGTTCTCAGTACCCTGAGCTTCACTAGACAGAGCAGGAGGAGAATTGATAGGGAAATAGGAAACGTTCGCTTTGGTCAAGTGGGAGCTTAGATTCTGCAACAAAAATCAATTTCCTTGCCTTAAGTTTCTGAAATTCGGGAACTGTAAGCGAAGAAGAAGAAGAAAAACCCAAACCTCATGAGCCAAATGAGACATCAAAACCACAGAGTACTGTTGCTGATCACGAGCGAAAGCAGCGGCAATGGCCTGCAAAAGTAGACAGCTTTTCGAATCGATTCCTAAGAGAACCCAAAATTCGAAACTGAGGTTCTGGGAGGAGAGAGAAAGAGATTACAGCGAGAGGGTAGACATCGCCTTTGGTACCGAAAGCCATGAAGAGAGCGATGGGTTTCCTGCTCTCCGGTTCCTCCATGGTGCTCATGCTCCGACGAAACGAAAGAGAGTGAGACTAGAGTGTTCGCCGCAGCTACCGCGTCTATAATATAGCGATCACCAAAAGCGCGTTTGCAACCTTCTAACTCGGGTGGGTTACACTGGAAGGAAACCATTCAAACCGCGTTTGAAAGACGGTTGACTCTCACCATTCTGTTGGATTTAGACCGATTATGAGCAGCAGATTCGCCTCCAGTCAAACTACTCAAACCGCAGTAAGTAACTTTGTAGATAGAGTGTACTAATTGGCGAAAAATGAATCAAACTTCAAACTTTGCAAGTGAACAGATTCGCGTTTTCGGAAATGTATATTTGAAACACTGCAATCAAATCATATCATAGCTATCATCATCAAGCGCGCCAATTTAATGAGGGTTTGTTTGATTCATGTATACAGAAAGTGAGTTGCTTTCTAATGTATCAACGATCACTTCACAACAAACCATACAGCTACTTGTTTCACGTAACAAGAGAAATCGATGGATCAGCTGTTGGAAAAACAGATTCTTTCTTTGAAACTGTACACGTGCTTTCAAAGACGTCACTTCGGCATGTGAAGAACACAACGCAGACACTTTCCTTCTCTCATAAGCTCAAAAGCTTCGTTGATATCATCAAGTCCCAGGTTATGCGTGACCAATTCATCGATCATGATCTCCTGCGCCACAAAAAAGAAACGATGAAGGAAACAGTTCATCGATTAAAAACGATTTCTTTTTGTTTTATGCAGCTGTGCTTATATATACCTTGTTCATGTACATTTCAATGAGTGAAGGAAGGTCAGATTTAGGCTTCCAACCACCAAAGAGAGTCCCTTTCAAAGATTTCCCAGAGAGAAAGAGTCCGTAATGAGCTGAAACCTCAGGCTTCACTTTCGGTACACCTAGAGTAACGGTCATGCCCCATCCCTGAGATATCATCCAACATTAAAAATGAAAAATGCATTTGTACACAAAACAAGATGAGAGAATTAAATGTAACAGAAGGCTCACATCCGAGCAGGATTGTAAAGCAGTTGTAGCTACTCCTGTATCACCGACACATTCAAATGAGAAATCCGCACCTCCTCCTGTCATTCTTTTGATTACCTAAAAATCACAATACAGTGAGAAAAAGATTCATCAGCTTTAGTTATGCTATATGAATAAGCACAAACCTGTGGTATGGGTTCAGAGAGGTCATTTGAATTGATGAAGTCAGTGACTCCGAATGTCTTTGCTGCAACATGTTAAGAGACACTCAAAACCAGACGTAATATATCTTAAAGCCTACGACTATGGTGACATTACCTTGTTCAGCTTTAGCTGGGTTAATATCAACACCAATGATCTGAGCTGCTCCTCTGAGTTTGGCACCTTGAGCAACCTGGTCATTAGAGGTTAATCTCTGAATACATTTGAAAACTGAAGAAGCACTCAACGTTTCTGTATTCTGTACTCACCGAAAGACCAACAGTTCCAAGACCAAATACCACAACGCTCGAGCCTTTTTGTACATCAGCAACATTCCAAGCTGCACCAAGACCTGCAGCGGCTCCACAGCTCAGAAGACAGATTTTGTGCAGAGGCGCAAGAGGATCGACTTTGACAGCACAGCCAGAGTGAACCACTGTGTACTCGCTGAAGCTCGAAACCGCGCAGTAATGGTAAACAGGTTTGCCTTTGATGGAGAAGCGAGTCTTCTGGTCGCTATGCATCAAACCTTTCCTCTCCATCCCGAGGACCTGACACATGTTACTTTTCCCGGAGAGGCAATGCCGGCATGAGCCGCATTCTCCGGTGAATACAGCGAGCACGTGGTCTCCTTTCTCAAACTCGGTTACGCCTTCCCCTATGCTCTCCACTATACTGCAGGAAACATCCATGAACACAGGTGATAGAGCCTCAAACCTCTAAGCTCTCTTCTTTATTCAACTAGATCACTCAATACCACATCACATTCTACATATTCGAGACGAAGCTATATTCTTAAATTGTTCCTATGATTGCATAATCTAAAAGTGAGGTTATTTGTGGACAAAAAGTAACTTACCCTGCCGCTTCATGGCCAAATATTCGGGGGAAAAGAGACTGTACCAACAAACGGAGACTGCATCAGAGACTCTTACAAGCCAAACCCAAAAGGAGGTTTATGTTGTAAAAGAAGAGAAACGAAACCTGAGACTCCCAAGCAGAGAGGTCGCTACGACAGAGAGATGTACAGACGACTTTGATTCTGATCTCAAGAGGTTGAGGTGGACTCACTTCCACTTCCTCCATAACCAGTGGCTCACCAGCACGCCATGCCACCGCCGCTGTAGAGTTTCTCCAAACGTTTTAATCGAAATTCATAAACGAGTACAAAAGCAAAAACCTTTGCTTTTTTACCTTTGCAGGTTATGGCTCGAGGTTGTTCGGAGGAGGAAGAGGACGACATTGTAATCCCAATTTGCTAGCTTCAAGCACAAATGAAGGAACCCTAGAGAGAGAAGGGGAAGGGGGTGAAGAAACAGAGCTTCACCTAACACCAAGTCACACACCAACCACCACGAGCTTAAAAAATGTGACTTTACAGCTTCAGAGGTCCCACATCAGATGCAAGCCATTCCCGCCACCAACCCCTTTCGTCAACTAATCCGAAATCTCATCCTAAATTCATATCATTCAAATTGAAACATAGCGTCTGATCTAGTTTCGACTCCCAGAACCAGATTTACTGGTTTTAGTTTCTTGTGAGCTCGACATTCAAGTGGAAATTGTCACGCCGTTATTACAACAACAACAACTGCACAATCACCTGCGAACCGAAGAAAAACGGAATCCTCGTTGTAAGAATTTTGACATTGGCTGGTCCAAATCAGACAGGGAGAAGAGAATTATTGGGCTTATTGTGGGCTATATTGGGCTTATCGTGGGCTCGATTGAGCTTATCGTGGGATCGATTGAGCTAATCGTGGGCTCGATTGGGCTTATCTTACTCAGTTGAAAGTTGAAACAAAATCCCCAAGTATTTTTAAAGAATAACTTTAATTTTGTAAAATAATACAATGGTGTCATTTTGTTGATGTGTCATCACCAGAATTATTTTCAACAAAATTATATAAATAGACTTATGTTACTAGATTAATTACATGTTATGCCATTCACATTAATTTGGTTATACATTAGTTTATATCAATTATATTGATGATGATTCATCAAGATATTCTCTTTTCCTATTTTTTACCAAAAATATATCATATTAATTATTTCTTTAAATACTATATTTTATCTCTTATTTTTATAGAAAAATAAATCATCACATCATTCATATAGTAAAATATATATATATATATATATATTTTCTGTGTTATAATTCGAATTTCATAAAAAATATAAATTACTTAAATAATTAATAAATAAAAATATGTTTTAAAAGACTAAAACTGAAAATAAAGATGTATACATAGATGATTCATAAATCAATATAAAAATACATAAATGATAAAAAAACAGAAAGCTTAATTTAATAGATATTATTATTTTTAATTTATACAACAAAATAACTTGGTAAAAAACTAAAATATTTTTGTAAAGATATTATATAATAATTTTATTAAACTTTTTGTTATTAAAAATATTTTTATTAAATCAAAAAGTTAAGAATGGATAAGCATTGACTCAGTTATATACAATTTTAGATAATTTATTAAAATTAATAAAAAAATAATTTATTTTTATATAATCCTTATGTATATTTAGTATTTAAAATAAATTTTACAGTAATCTTATTTTCTTAAAAGTTAATATTCTTATGATTATAATTTTTGCGGGTTAATCTAAATATGCATTTACATTCGTATTAGAAATATTAAAATCGATTATAAAATTTTAAAATCAAATTTTATTTTTACAATTTTAATACTCTCTATTTCAAAATATAAGTTATTTGTATTAAAGCACAAAGATTAAAAAGCAACTTTTCTTTTAAAAAAAGTAATCATTTAGTATATAAATTAAATATAATTCAACTAATTATGAAAAATTAAAAAATATAATCGGTCACATAGTATTCATTGGAAGTAGTAAAAAATATAAAAAACAACTATATTGTAAAACAAAACAAAACCTTAAAAAAAATTAATATTATGAAACAGAGGAAGTAGTAAATTTTTTTATTAGATACTTATTAATTTAATCAAAATATACTCCTTATATTTTTTTTAATTTTAAGATCATGTTATTAATCATAGGTTATAGAAAGTATAAAGAAGGACTTCTTATTTCTATCCAGATTGTGAATATATATTTAATTTTTAAACTAATTTACATTAAAATTAAATTACCCTAAAATTTATAACATAAACAAAAAAATATTTTGTCAATATTACAGCATAATGTTATAAACAACTCATATAAAATCAATTATATTTTTTATATAATTTTAAAATTATACTATATTAAATAAATAATAATTATTTCACTCCGTACATGATGCAGATTATTACCTAGTACTACTAGTAAAAGTAAATAATAGTATAAAAAAAAATCGGAATGGGACAAAAAAAGACTGACAATAACACACACATGCCTAAACAAATGTCAAACTGTATCGTTGTGAAATAATTTTACTATTCATTGATATGACCATGATTAAGGTCATCGGCTCAACGAACCGTTAATAAATCGGACAATGATGATATGATATGAATGATATCAGATCATCATATTTTTCTTACGCAGAAAATGGACACCGATCAAATAAATAGAGACACATACAGTCATCAATATGCCAGAAGGCTGGTCCCATATATTACAACTGGCGTAGGCTATAAAGGCACGTGTTCTATTTGTTCCGGTCTAGGTTCAGTGTATCTGACCACTAGAAAGTTTTAGGGTTTTTTTTGCTATCTAACCATATTTACAAAACAACTAGGTGGTTGGCCTGTACATATGTGCGGATATAATTTTTTTGATATACATAGTTAATTGTAATATTTAAATTTTAAATATTTGTATGTTTGTATATATATATATTGTTTTAATATTTCACAAACTTTTTTTCTGAAATCAATGTATTTTATTACTTTTATTTTTATAATATTTGTAATAGTATATAATCACAAATATAAAAGTTATATTAAATAATAATTAAATTTTTATAATATTAATATGCTTTATTTCTTCTTACAAAATCTACAATATGCTTTTTGCGTCTTACATAATATGAGTTTATAAATACATATATAATATATTTTAAGTATATATTTTTCTTGATTTATTGCAAAATAAACTGAAATAGTTTTTTCCATTTTTACTTATTCTTAAGAGCGGATAGATGGTTGGCACGCATGTGCGGACATACCAATCACTTCACTCCACTTAGAATAATAAAGATTCTTTTAAAAAATATAAATTGGATAATTATTAAAATAAAATTAGACTGTAATCAATCTTAACAAAATACATGCACGAAAAAGTTCGCATGTGACTTTAACTAATGTACAACTAATATTTATATATGTACACGTATTTGTAAAAAAATTGAAATATGGCGACCAATCCCAATGGAGAACTTATTAAGAAGGTCTTATAAATATTTTATTATTTATTTTAGACACCGGATGTTTTAACTCAACAAAAGTATCATATTTTAGACACTGTGTCTATTTTTAAGACCTTTTCACTATTTTTTATTCAATTTTATTATTAAGATCTTTTGTTTTAGACACCCAAATTTCTCCATTAGGACTGCTTTTACGTGTTAAAATTTTTTTAAGTGACTTTGTAAAACAAAGAGCGAGAAATTTTTTTTTATATACTTCTATTTTTATCTCTTATTCATATTGTTTCTTCTTATTATAATTTATTCTTTCGTTTGATTATTTTTCAATTCATTTATGATCTCAAAATTTTGATATACAATGAAAACAAAATTATGTATATATATTAATATGATATAAATTTTTATTTTTATTTAAAATATGATAAGAGATAAGATGAGATGGTAACATAAATTATGCGCATTTTAGAAAACAACAATAAAAAGATGATAAAAGTTATAGAAAAATATATGGTTCTATTAAGATTATAAAATAATAATTAGTATATATAAATATTGGTTTAAAAATATTTTTTTTTTAAATTACGTTTTTGAAAAAAAAAAATCAATAAAAGTTATTTATTTTTATTATTTTTAACATTTTATTCTTTAAATTATTTTTATCATGATTATATTTTATTTAAAATTGTATTATTTAATAATTTGTTTATTTAAAACTTTTTTAGATTTAATTAATAACTTTCCGAAATAAAAATATATCATACTTAAAGTATTATTAGTAAATAGAATTTTTACTATTCTATTGGATAATTTAATATTATTTTTTATTTTTATATGAAATTATAATATATATATATATATTGTTGAAAAAAATTCATAATTATTTTTTATGAAATTATGAATATATGTAAAAATTTAAAATTATAATAACTTTTATTTTCTGTTAATTTAAATTTGTTAATTTTAGTGTTATAAATATAATTTAGTTTATTTATGTTTTAGTTCTATAATTTATATAATTTCAATTCAATCAATCAAAATATTTCGTTTATTTTAGGAAGTTTGACATATCACATTTACATGTCATCAATTAAAAGCACTAACTTTGATTGTAGTGTTGACATGTAAGCAATTTTCAATAATGTTACTTCTCAAATAATATGTAGTGGATAAAAAAATATAGCTATGCTATTCAAATAATATGCAAACTAATCATGGCCCATGTAAAAATTACTAAAAACTCCTTCTTTTTAACGTTAGAAACATATGTTGTCCATATTTTTTTATAGACTATACTATAATATATGATTTTTTCTGGACTATACTATAATATATGTTTTTACACGAAAAGACTTATATAGTATAGTACTTGAAATTCTAAGTATATATCAATTTTATATTAACACATTATACTATATCAATTTTTGTATCGTACTATACTATTTATAAAATTAATTATTTCACATAATTTGTATAGTATGAGTCATCAAATGGAAAGGAGAGGGGGGGAGAAGAGGAGGGAAAGGGGAGGGAAAAGGGAGGATGGAAGAGGAAAAGACAGAGAGGGGAGAGAAAGGGAAGAAGAAGAAAAGAGATGAGAAGACGTGAAGGTAAGGGAGAAGAAGGGGAAGAGAAGAGAAGAAGAAAAAGAAAAAAAGGATAGTTTAATATATATTATATAAAATATAAAGAATACTATAACAACTCTTTTCATATAGTCATTCTATTAATTTCAACTGGTCTTGTGGTTATTACCGCCAATTTCTCAAAGTTTTATTTGCAAAATGATCATGTGTTTTGCTGTCTTTAGAGTATTTTTATTGATTTGAATATTTTGATTGAATTGGAAATTAGATTTTTTATGGTTGATTTTTAATCAATTTAATACACAAACCAATAATTTCTCCACGGTCTACATATGTACGGTTGTAGTTTCTTTACTCTTGCTGAATAAAGTGTGGGAGACAAGTGTCTCCTGCCTGTTACCAAAAAAAAAAAAAAATCTCTGTATAAAATAATTTACGTATGAATTGTTGTACAAGGAAGACCATATCTCCAAGGAGTAAACGTGCACAACTTTTAACGAATGGTGATAAGAAAAGTATATATTTTATATTTTTATATAATAGAAATTGATGTAGCTAGATACCATAATTCTATTTTGTTTAATATGTTTCATGACAAATTAATTAACATGCACCAAACCGATAAACATGTATCAAGCTGCTATAATAATATTTCAAAAGCATTTCCCCTTCTTTTGGGCAGTTAACTAATTTCAGATTTATATGTTTCATTTTGTTAATTTTACATGGTTTTGATCATTTTATAGCGACTCTAGATTAACTTTATCTACAAAGAAAAAACATTCAATACGAAGAAGTCCTTTTTATTTATTAAGTTGGGATGGGTTTGACAATTTATTTTAGCATTGGCAAAGATAACAAAAACACTGAAAAGGTGGTGGATGCATAGTGGGACAAGATATATTAATTAAGAAAGATGCTTATTTAGGTCTTGTAGTAGAGTGGGTTAGGGAGCTTGAAAGTCCTTCTCCCAGGGCTGTCCTTAGCCAAATCAGCCCATTGGTCTCCAATATTCCCAATGATAGTGTATCCACTCCTCTCCAGCTTCTTCCTCTCCTTTGACTTAAAGTTCGCTGTCTTCGTGTTCGAACCCGTTGGCCTGCATGCGTTTCCATTTAAATATATATCACTCGACTCGGTCACATATATGATATGTACTCACTGTATGTATAATTAGGCTATATACTTTATTACTCTTACTTGAATATTGCATGTTTCCAGTAGGTGAAGCCAGCAGCCTTGAGATTCTTTAAAGTGACTTCCTCCAAATCTTGGAATCGCTCGGTGATTATGATGGGTTCAATCCCGAGTTCTTGGATGTTTTCGTAAAGATGCAAGCTCTCCGCGAGCACGGGAGATTCTCCGGCCGCTAACCACTTGCTGAACGCCTCCGTGTCTTGCTTCTCTGTCCTAAGAAAACCCAAAAAAAAAAGTATACTTTACATTCAATCACAATGTTGTGTGGATGGAAAAAATATTTTCAGGTAGGAGATGTCTCAAACTATTTAGAGCTCTGAAAATCAATACAATAATATCAATATATATGTGTCTCTAACGTAAGCATTTTAAAAATATATATGTATGCATGGAGGAAATAATGGTAATAGTAGATATGTACCCGTATCCATATTCGGCGTAAAAGGGTATATTCGAGAGGAGGGTCTCGTCTAGATCAAAGATCCAAACATTGATGGTGTCGTTCTTTAGGGCAAGTCCTTTGGCGTAGAAGTAAGCTTCTTTGCACACCGTTTTGGAGTCGTCACGGTACTGTTGGGAAGTGGTCAAGTAGTCTTCCACATAGTCTTTGCAATTTGCGGGAACCGTCCCGAAATTGATGATGTTAGAAGTCTCAACACCAAGGTGCCAGCTTCTGCAGTTGGGGTAGCTGATGGTGAGTCGCTGTTTCTCCAAAAGGTCGGCTTCGGTCTCAAAGATGTTTGACGTTGGGAGTTCGATGAGCCTAGGCACCGAAGGCCGGCCTTGGGAGACCGTAGCGGCCAAGAGCAAGATAAGTGAAAGTGAGAGGATTTTCATTTCCCTTTTTGGTATGGTTAGTGTTTCAGTTGTGATGTTTATTTAGGGGATATAGGGGTGGGTATTTATAGGAGAAGGGGCATAGTTTTAACGGTATGGTTGCTTAATTTATAACATTACCATGGGCAATGAGGAGGAGATAAGGTGTATGGCCTCGAGTGATGAAAATCAATTGTTGGTCCCAATACGTTAAAAGTACGTGTATGGCCTCGAGTGATGAAAATCATTGCTGGCCCCAATACGTTAAAGAGATTAGATGAGATCTATCACTTACACCACTCGCTTTTGGAGCACGTTGTGACCGTGCTAATTAGAGTTTGTCGTTTTTTTTAATCCGTGTCCAGCTGCTTGTGCCAGAACTAAGAAACCCAACGTACAAATATTTAATGAACTTTTTCCAATCCTTTCACTAATTCCAAATTTTATATAATCATCTTTAGTAATTTTACATGGTTTTTATCTTTTAATGGCCACTTGATTAAGTAATTTTCCATATAGTGAGCGAGGTTAGTCTTACGGTATGATTACTTATGATGAATTGATGATTAGATGGGAAATGAGGAGATAAGTGTACGTGTCTGGCTTCGAGCGATGCAAATTAATGATTGATTGATGATGTTTAAGATAACAAATGAGATTTTTCACTTGCACCACTCGTTTTTGGAGCACGTTGTAACCGAGCTAATTAGGGTATGGCGTCTTGGTACTTATTTGTAACCAGTAGCTTATTTAATCTTGTATGCTTGTGAAATTTGAACCAGGGGTTCTAGCTTATTGAAGAAAATACATTATTGTAAAGCTGTTTCACGCTATTAGAAAAAAGTAAAAAATAAAACATTAGAATATGATGGAGGAATTAAGTATAACTTGTGTCATTTTAGCTAAATCTAGTCATTTACGCTCTAATTTTTTTTTCTTCTATTATTATAAATTTTTGGTTATTTACTTCCCCTGTCAGAGTCAGGAAATCAGATTATATAAAGTCTTCTAAATATTGATGATATGATGTGTTCGCTTAACAAATTTAATATTCGAGACTATGGTGATACATATAGAACATTTATGTATCCATATCTCACTAAGAGTGGAAAATACTTTTGTGTAAGTCATGCGTAGACCAAACCCTATACTATTAAAAGTATAATGTGTTCTTGTTACGTAAGTCATACCGAAGGTGAAGATCATCTCAATCGATCGTGGTGAATAATACTATTAAGAGCTATACAGTAGGTCATACCGAAGGTGAAGATCATCTCAATCGATCGTGATGAATAATATTATTAAGAGCTATACAGTAGGTCATACCGAAGGTGAAGATCATCTCAATCGATCGTGATGAATAATACTATTAAGAGCTATACAGTAGGTCATACCGAAGGTGAAGATCATCTCAATCGATCGTGATGAATAATACATTTACAGACGTCTTTGTTGACGTGTTTATTTTTGGACCGAGGTGATTAATTAGTAGAAAGTTGTAACGGAAACCATTTTCACAAAACAATGATGGTGTCATTGCCCACCAAATTACACAAAGCAAACGTTAATTACACGTCCATCTCCGACTCTGACAGGATCATGTCCTTTTTCTCTTTATTTATTTATTTTAAACTTCAACAAGATTTCTTTGTTGCTAGTGTGGGCTACTTCATGTGATTAACCACATGGATTAAGAAATTTGGCTGAATGATTCAGCAGAAGTCACATGGATTAGTAAGAAATTGAACCATATTTAGCCCACTAAGAAGTTGTGTGTTTACAATAATAACTTTGGGCTAATAATGATCCACTTTTGACCCACTAATTAATTTCCCCTATAAATAAGAAGCCCTAGTTTATTTTGTAGACACACAGAATCGCCGTCTCTTAGGTTACATCAGAGCAGACAGTGTCTTCTACTGAAATCTTGTGCTAATAATATTTCTCATAACACTTTCGTATTGTATATTTTTTTTTTCAAAAATGTATTGTTTCTTTGCCAACTGATGATTACGGGAGTAGTGATTCAGGCAGCCTCCTTGTCAACTAAAACAATGACATGACAGAGGTGTTTAATTACTCCTACAATGAACTCTGCTTCTGCTCTTCAGACTTGCTGAGATTTGTTTTATCTTTGAAGCTGGTCTAGTAGTCTTAAGCACATTAGTTCTTTCTTTTAGTTGTATATATATAAATCGTAAAATCCTCAAGATTCTGAACTCTTGTTCATGTCGAACTATTTTTACTCTAGCAATAGCTGACTATTGTGTATTGTTAGGGTGGATTTAGAGTGGATAATACAATCTAGAAATCATGTTAATCAATCGTAACTGAGGAACATGATTGACGATTTATAAGAATTTAATAAAGTAAGACAATTGAAATTAATCTTCTTAATTAATCCAAATTGTTTTCAACTACTACTGTATGTTCTTGCCATGAAAAAAAAAACAACTTAATTCGATCATGACACTGGGGTAGCTAGTCTTATGAATACTTATATATTATTCACTTTTAATAGATAAAAGTTAAAACTAGAAAACTAAAATATGTTGTTTGGATCATACAACAACATATACATAACACGAACAAGGCAACCAAAATGGCAAAATCAATTACTTGAGAGATGTGAGACAACAATGTTTTGCAAAATCATTTCCAAGGTTTTTCCTGACTCAATACTAATTTGGACTTATTTTAATCCAAAAGCGAAAAAGTTCATTAGTAATAAACAGTTGTGCAATATAATAATTATATACAGTGTTTATAAATTTTTGGGTTTGTTTCACAGGAGCCAAGTCTGTTTTACTACGTTCACAAACCAGTCTCACTCGTTTCGTTTGAAACAAATTGGTTTTTGTTTTATGCAACCCTTTATCATACTATATTACCTAAGCTAGCTAGTATGTAAAGACTTTGACACCGCACTTTAAGTGCAAGTAATCAATATTTTTACCAAACTATATATTTAGTAACATGGAACCCTATTTCTATGACTCAGCATGCTAAACTTGCAGACAACTTATTGCTGTAGCATTCATGACCTTTTATATTAAATGAGAACAACAACGATCCATCAATACTTAGAGCAAAATTAGAGGCAGCATCTACACTTAGTACAAAAACAACCAACCTTCGAAAGCTTGTAGAAGCTTGTGATGCGGAGATGATTTGGTTCATGTGAGATGTGTAAATCGTATGGAATAATTGATTGATACGTTAGATGAATAGTTGAGTTGAGTAGAATTTTCACAAACTAATCATTAAACGTTAAAACAAATTTTGTAGATTACAGATGTTTCATTTAATTTTACTATATGGTGTCTTCGCCTAACAGATATAGTGGAATCATTTTTGAAATTTTCAAAACGTGAAAAATCAAGTTTTCAAATGTATAAACGTAAAAAGATCAGTATACTTGTACCATTCATCACACTAAATAGACTTAAACGATTATGTTGCGTAAGTACTCGGTAATTACATACACACACAATTTAAGTGATACTCGAAAGAAAGATGCGTGCTTATTGCATGTCGCCTTCCGAAGTTAATGTTGTTTCCGTAATAACACGGTTAACACCCGTTGCTTCATACGTCTTTTTCTGATTCTTTAACTAATTTAGCTTTCTAAACGGGAACCCTAATCCTATGAGTCAGCATGCTAAGCTTACTAATTAATGATCTCTGCCTAGAGTTTTAAATTCCATGAAGCAACTTGCTGATATTGCACCTCTGGTTTTTTTTTTTTGTAACCTTTGTTAAAGCTATCGTATTTACTTAATAGGAATCTTATTCTTGTAATGGTTTGAGTACTTTGTAAATTGCATCGAGCTTTCCACATATAAAGTAATGTGTATATTTAGTCAAACTCCGGTTTCGTATCACCTAGTTTATAAAAGAAAACAAACTTAGATTCATGAAAGTCGTAATCTAGCTGTTGTTGGATGAGAAAAAAACATCTTTCATAATTAAAAAAAAAATTGATAAATATCTTTTTTATTATTAAAAGGGGAAAGAATGATTTTTTCGTTGTTGTTGATAGCTCAGGCGATACACATTATTATATGTGGAAAGCTCGATGCAGTTTAGCTTTCATATTAGTATACATATTGGGTTAGTATACATATTATTAACTTCGAATGTGACATTATTTACACTATTTTATCTTTATAATTTTTATATTCCTTTATGTCCCAAGATAAACCCATAAAAATAAAGAAATAATTTATTAAACAAAACATAATTCATTCAATCATGAAAAAAACTGTACAATTTTAAATGGTCAAAACTATTAAATGGAGAAACATGTTTTAGAGAAAAACAACTAAATGGGTGAGCGATCATTTTTTAGATTAGAAAATATAAAACTATGATGAAATTAAGTACTATATTATTTGAGTGAATCTTTGTGTCAATTTAAAGGGATGTCAGTTTTAGACAGTAAGAATAATACTGTGAATAATGCTTTTGGTGAGAGTTAAAACAGAATTTCATATATAAATTTGTATATTTCTTAAAATATATATATATAATATTCATTTTAGTATATTTTTATTTTATCAAAATATAGTATTAAATTAATTAAAAATAATCCACGTCATAGTACAAGTATATACCTAGTATCTTATAAAAAGAATATAATAAAATATGCCTTAGAACAGAAAGAGTGCATTAATTTAGGAAAAAGTTAAATTGGTAGTTACACCATTTAAGGTTCTATTTTACGTTTCATTGACCAAATAAAAATTTATATTTACAATTTATGGGGAAAGTAAAGATTATTTCTTCATTTAACTTAATTATATATATATGGAGACAAAAGAAAAGGAACGAGATCATTGTAGTAGAAGAGTCTAGAAACTAAAAAGAGAGAGAGCGAGAGGGAGAGAGATAGCAAAATGGAGTGGAGGAAATGGTACTTAGACGCGATTCTTGTGCCCTTAGCTCTTGTGCTGATGCTTTGTTACCACATCTACTTGTTCTTCGTGGTTCGAACCCATCCCTTCTCCACCATCCTCGGCATTAACTCTCGCGGCCGCCGAATCTGGATCTCTGCTATGATTAAGGTTCATCTTTATCACCATTTCGAATATTCTGTTCTTACTCACTAACTACATTCCTAATGTAACCCTATGATCTTTAGTTATGAAAAAAAAAAAACTACAAAATCAGATTGTAATCATCATCAATGTTTATATTTATCTTGAATTATCACTAGCAAACTATTAATTTTTTTTTAAAAAAAAAACCTATAATATATCGTAATGTCAGGTGAGGTATAGATATATAAATTAGTTTTAGTTTTGGTTTGGGATCTTTGCTTAAAAGAGGAACCTATAATATTTAAATACATTTAAGTTATTTAACTAAATGTATATAAGATGGATTTTGTTTTTGTTCACTTTCTCAGGAGAATCAGAAGATGAACATATTAGCGGTACAAACACTGCGTAACATAGTAATGGGAGCTACACTGATGGCTACCACCTGCGTGCTCCTCTGTGCCGGTCTAGCCGCAGTGATAAGCAGCACTTACAGCATCAAGAAGCCACTAAACGATGCCGTTTATGGTGCTCATGGAGATATCGCCATAGCCGTCAAATACCTAACAATCCTCACAATCTTCATCTTCTCCTTCTTCTCCCACTCTCTCGCCATCCGTCTCCTCAACCAAGTCGGCATTCTCGTTAACATCCCTCATTTAGACTCTAATCCCTCTGGTGAGTTTTACCTCACGTCTGAGTACGTCAGCGAGCTGTTCGAAAAGGGTATCTTGCTCAACACGGTAGGTAACAGGTTGTTCTACGCCGGCTTTTCTCTGATGCTATGGATCTTTGGTCCCATCCTCGTGCTCTTGAGCGTTTTGGTGATGGTGTTTGTTCTTTATCACCTGGATTTTGTGTCAAGCAGCAGCAATAAAGAGAAACAACGTATAGGGGATTGTCGTCGCGCCTCTGATCTTCCAAGTGGTGGTGATGCATGATGCATAATATGGTAGTAATTATGATGACGTCATATCATCCGGATTGTTTAGAGAGAATTGTACTTGAAGAGTTTATGTTTATAATTGTACTTGGAGACTTTATGTTTATGTGGCCTTATTAGTTCCATAAACTTTGGGCCATTCTTCTATTATTTCGGCTCTATATGTATAAGCTTTATGATATATAGTGTGGTATCAGATACATCAAAATATTGTGAACAATATAGCATAATCACATTTTCAAAACATGCAAAAAAAAGAGTATTAATTATCAGCTAAATAATATAACATGGTTCTTTTAAACATCAATAGCTACTTATTTAAGTTAGTAAGATTGAATTTGAGTTTTATTGTTTACTATGGTTAAAACGTTCGGTAGATCATAAAACTTGAAAGTCCCCACTAGGTTCGAATGTTCTAGTTAATGAAATGTTTTATTTTAAAAGCTAATTCAGAATACTTTTTTGATTCTCTTTCCGGATCTAAATAACTTTTGATTTCTTAAAGACATATTTCCTAGTTTGTTTCTTTTTATTGTTTTGTTGTGAAATATTTTAGCTTTTTAAAGGAACCGCAGATCAAAAGTAAGGAAAAGTTGGTTTACACCCAAAAGTTAATTTAACATTAGAAAAAATAAAAGTATTTCTGGTGCTGGACTAAAGAAACGTCTTTAGATCTGCTTTCCAAAAGCACGAAAAGTAAGAGAAAACAAAAGCATGAAAGATAGGGAGAATTAAGCATGTATTGTGTTGTTAGTGAACGGAAAAAAATTTAAGTTTTTTTTCGGTATAAGTCATTTTTTTACGTACGATTTTACAATATGATATTCTTACGTTTCTATCATTCATATTCTTATTCAAGTGATCCCGCATATATAATTTAGACGTGTGTAAAAGATTTGGTAAAAAATTCTTAACAAAAAAAAAGGAATCGGTTAGTCTCCATCTACCTTATATAGTTTTCTGATCAGGTCAAAAGGATTAATTAAGGTTATCATTAGCATATAATTGGCACCATAATCATCTCTAAAACTGTTGACATATAGAGAGGCCAAGGAAGAAAAATACGCAGCCTAAGATCACTCTGGCTTTACTTTTTCTATCCTCTTTTGTTATTGCTGTCATTAAAAGAAGAAAAAAAGTTGGAAAATGAGGACGTTGCATTGACGAAGCAAATTTAGTTTTGCTTAGCGATTAAGAAGCTTTTTCACAACTTTAGTAAAGAAGAGAGAGGTCTATATAAAGAAGATGTCTATCACAACTTACTCTTCCCCTCCTCCCTCTTTTGCCACCCATTGAAACAAAAAATGGATAATCACACAGCTAAAGACATTGGTATGAAGAGAAGTGCTTCTGAGTTGGGTCTACCAGAGTATCTCACTAAGTTCTTGTCGTCTTCTTCTTCTGCTTTATCCAGACAAGAATCTATTCTTGACACAAGCCCTCTAGACCCTTCTTTTGATCTCATGAACTGGGTTAGTCTTCGGTTTCTTCCTTCAGTTGTGTTCGTATCACTGTTGCTTGTGTCTATATATATATATCAAGATCCAAAGATTGTAGTAAGAGTCTTGGTTTTTTTTTTTTTTTTGGGGATTTCAGGATTACACTTGTGAGTTAAGAGATGGTCTTTTGTTATCTGATAGCTTGATTCCGGCTGGAGTTTTTCTTGATGCACAGTCCTCGATCTGCGGTATGTGCATGTCCCTTTGGATTTGACTCTCCATGTGTTATTTGTAATAAGTGTTGTTACAGTTGATATTAACGTTCATTTGTATGGCTTCTGCAAAGAAAATCTGTCAGCTGATAGTCCAGTGTCAGCCAATAAACCTGAGGCTAGAGGAGGAGCTCGGAGAACCGCAAGTGGGTTTTCTCATGATCACTCTGATGAAGAAGATGCAGAGACCGAAGCTGGACAATCTGAAATGACTAATGACCCCAATGATCTAAAACGTATTAGAAGGTACGTATGTTTCTGCATACCGATTACAAGTTAGATGTGAAACATAGAAGGTGATCACCATTTTTTATTTCTTTTTGTTTTGGTGATGCGAACTCAGGATGTATTCAAACAGGGAATCAGCAAGGCGGTCTAGGAGAAGGAAGCAAGAACACTTGGCTGATCTTGAATCGCAGGTAATTAAGGTTAACAAATAGCTGGTTTGATGCTCTTTCTTTTCTAAGGGATTTTAGAGAGTTGAGTTTTGATCATGATGATTACCTTATGCTTTCTTGAAGGTTGATGCTATGAAAGGAGAGAACTCAACACTGTACAAGCAGCTCATAGAGGCAACACAGCAGTATCGTAGTGCTGGAACGAATAACAGGGTTCTCAAATTAGGTGTTGAAACTCTGAGAGTCAAGGTACCATCATCGATCACTTGAACTTTCATTAGCGGAAGTGATAATTGGAATGTGCTAAGTTTAAGTAAGTTACAGGTGAAGCTAGCTGAAGATTTGGTAGCAACAGGGTCCCTCAATAGCAGCTTGAATCAACTTCTGCAAACTCATCTAAGTCCACTACCACAGTCCATCAACAGTCTGCACTACACAGGAAATACCTCACCCGCCATGAGAGTCCACAGTGACCAGTCTATGTTCCCTGGAATCACACTTTCTGGACAGAACTCAAGCCCTGGACTTGGTAATGTATCCAGCGAAGCTGTTAGCTGCGTCTCAGATATCTGGCCATGAGTCTCTTTCTTCACAATATGTAATGAATCACTCTGCAAATTTCTTGTATGTGTTTCACTATAGAACTAGAAACATATAATGAAATCGGCATGTTCCTTATTAAACTCAAGTGTCGTTAACAAGATACACTGCACCAGGAACCTTCTTTTGCCCACTGCTACATATACATCAACTTGGTAAAAAGTGAAAACAGCAAAAATCAGGTTTCTGTGTAACATATACTTTATTGCTTGAATCAAGGTTTAGATGTATAAGACAGTACATTACATTCCTATAAGGCAATAACTCGAGTCAGATCCTTAAGCAATTTAAAAAATACTGATCATTACACTTTACTTTCCAGCAATATCTATGAGCTATGTAAGGCGATTCAAAGGACCGCCACGTGTATGTTGTAACATGAGCAGACAAAACTACATAGAAAATCAACCTCAGTTGATTAGAGGCGTACCCATTTCCAAATCTGGACCCATACCACTTGAGATGGAGAAGTCCTTAGGCAAGGGGATATTTAACTCTGAGCAAACCAGCCTGATAATATTAGCCGTAACACCTCCTAGAGACATCTTGTTGACTGTTATTGCAATGGAAAATCTGTTTTCGATGTCACAGAACCCTGTTGATCCTCCCATCCCCGAATGTCCAAAGCCAACCAGAGACCCATCTTGTAAAGTGACCCTCTTAAAACCAAGTCCAAACTTCCCATCAGGCAGTACCAAGCCACTGTAATCTCCGGCACCCATAAAAGCATCATGAATCCTCGGGTTGCTAAAAATATTGTGAATATCATCTTGATGATCATTGCTACTGATCTCAATCTCAGTTTTACCAGCAGAACTGCTAGTATCGTTGACTAGCCTGGCTAAACTTTCTGCACTTGACGCTCTACCGCGACCAGTACTCATAAACCGCTTCTCATCATAGAGCCTCTTCTCTTTAAGGTCTTTTGATTTAAGTTTTTCTGTACCTCCCATCTCCTTACCCTTTCTCTTTTTCGTTGTGCCATTTACCGATGAGAATTTCGGAACATGGGCGTGGCTGCCAAGTGATGGCTGGGATAAAGAGGAATGTGGAGGTGGGACTAGGCCTCCATCTGCTAGGGCTGCATAGTACCGTGCAAGTGCACGAGCCGAGCAATGTCCATTAGCTGCAGGGATTATGGCTCTGCGCACATTCAATGTGTTAAATAAGACTGGCAAGCTGGTTGCCATTTGTAAGATCTTCTCAGGCTGAAATGTGGAAGGAAGCTCAGGCTGACTGGCAATGGATGGAAGCTTGCTCAGTTCATCGGTGTCCAGCGTTAATGTGGCAAGCCGAGATTCAACACCTATAGTTACGATGTTAGATGAGCTTTAATAAAGCTGGTAGCCTAATTTACAATGTTTGTTGTTTACCTGGGGGGATACCAATGTACAATTCTCCATCAATCTTTAGGGGCTTTACAATGGATTCTTCAAGGATCTCCTGGAATTTCTTCCCAGAAGCATGCTGTTCAAGATTGATGAAAGCAAGATTGTCATCAACATAGTAGAGGTAAGAGCTATACGCTTGAGAAAACAGGTTAAGAATGAATGATATAATTAGTTTACCTCAATGATTCCACCACAAAGCCAACCAAACGTGAGATAGTGATAATATTGCTGACTGCCAGGCTCTGTTTCAGGTGATGAATTAGCAATCCGTTTCAAACATTCATCCCAGTCACAAATAAGTAGAGGATTTTCTCCTACAGGGTCAAAGGCACTGTGCAGCCCAGATGTATGGTTAAGCACATGATGGACCTGAAACACAAAACAGAGGAAGTAAATTGAAAGGCAATCTCACGATAGATTACAAAATGGTCACATGGCAGTGGAGTCCTTATACCTTTATGGTATCTTTTCCATTTAATCCGAACCCTGGCCATATATCTCCCACAGTCTGGTCGAACTGGAGTTTTCTGTGTCATTAAAAACTAAACGTTACTAAAGTATGACTAAGCATGAGTTCTGCAAACGAGATCATAGAACTAACAATGATACCAATATGTAAAAATTGAAGCCGATGGAATCTCAGGGTGTATGAAATGAACACATGAAAACTTTTGCAAGCAGTTGTTACTCACCTTTTGTCGACAAGCCAATGTATCATTCCCGCAGTGACACCCTTTGTCACAGAGAAAACGGGAAATAAAGTATCGGGTTGAACTGGACGAGGATCATATCTTCCAAGCACTCCAGCAGCAGTGTCAATAATGACTTTCCCATCTTTATATGCACATACCTACATAAGCATAGCCGAGTTAAAACGAAATGAAAGCTGCCTGAAAACCAAACGGTAGATCAGCATTGCCCACCTGAATTCCAAGTATTTTCTGGATACTCCCAAGTTCAGCGAGCAGCTTCCTCAGTTTGGACTCTACATCAGAATGGATTGGCGAGTCATGTATCCAATGAGCATCTACTGTTGGTCCTCGACTGATACTCCTGCAAAATCACGTTATGTTCATACGAGTATATCACAAGGGAGATGATGAAATGAGCTGCAAAATATATTCCAAGAGGACTTACCCCAGCAGAACAGACTCGGCAAATGGTCTCATGATGTCCAGATAAACGATCCGAACATTCATGGTGGATGAAAGTCCTAAATAGCCAATAGGTAAAAATAGTTAGTTCTGTGAATGAGCAAATTCCCTTGATGTAATGAAGTAAAGTAGTATGATTCACATATCATACCTCTAAGTAGATTAATGACCCTCGCAAAAATAACAATATCACCAGGAAATGCATCTACCTGAATCAAATATTTTCATTAAGATATATATGGTCACTAAGAAGGTATATACTACAAAGAAATTTATGCTTACTGGATTGAAGCGTTTAACTTCTTTCGGGCTGAGCTGCATCTTCTCCTGTATAACTTTCATATTTTGCACTCTTTGGTCGTTCAAGGTTTTCAGCGTTTTCTATAAAGAGAGGAATCTGTAAGAGCGGATCCGCTAAAGTTACCTCAAAATAGAAAGCAAGGCTATGAAAGAAAGAGTAGATTTACTTACCAGAGCTTCATTTGATGGAGTTGAAGATCGGAAGAAGAGACCTGCCACACTCATTGCCTGATCTGGCAGATCGAGCCGCAGCTTCAGTCCCATTTCCTCAAAGGCAGACAAAAGCGCCACTTGGTCTCCCTGTGAAATATAGCAATTAAATTCTACTAACAAACAAATTCGTCACTCTAATATCCCACAAAATGATCTACTAATTGTTTGGGTAAGACAAGCGAAAAAGAGAGATGTGCTGCATAAACTTTCACAAACCTCTGCCGATGCTAGAAACATCTTGGCTAGTGCTTGTTTCAAGGGGTGTGAGAGTTTCTTTGTAAGCCCAAAATCAAGCAAAATAGGACGATGTGGTGGTTCCTTACTAACAAGAAAATTTCCTGTAAAGCAGAGTAGAGGTATAATTATATTACCCCAAAACTATGTCTAAGCAAGAATGGTGGTTACAAGACAGCTAAAAATTGGCGAACCCCAGACGAAAGTTCGACCGTACCTGGATGAGGGTCGCCATTAAAAAACCCATCAACATATATCTGATGGGCGTATGCACGAGTGATCTCTTCCACAATCTTTTGTTTATCCACACCAAAAGCATCTAGAGATTCCATATCATTCAAGCGAAATCCATCCATGTACTCAAGAATGAGTACACTTTCAGACGACTGTCATTTAGAGAAACAAAGGAGGTTTAAGACATAAGTAGCAGGAAAATAAAAAAGGAATGAACCGCTTTCAGCTTCTAAAGTCATTTACTTTTTATGCTGCATTTAAGTCTGCAGTGAATAGTGTTACACACAGTGGCTACATTAGATCACTACTTATCCTAACGCATTTTCTAAGCAATATCAAACATAAGGTTGCTGCATCAGAGATACCATAGTACAGCATTACCAACAGTAACATGAATGATCCATCTATATACATAATAAATCTCTTAACATCAATGTTACCGTCCAAGACATAGAACTATATATGAAATTGTGTCCGTACACTTCAGAGTAAAACAAGAGCACTAGAGAGATAAGAACCTGAATTATATCTGGAATTAAGACATCAACCCGATTGTCACTTTTAACTTCATCATTTGTCTTCTTGCACCCGAGATTTCTGGATACGGTTCTAGTATTTTCTACATGTTGAGAAACAGAACAAAAAGGGGGAAAACTTAGGAAATGTAGTTCTCAGTGACGTGTAAGCATGAAGCATGAACCTGAAAAACGATCAGAAATCTGCCTATTTTTCCCATGTTGCTATCTTTATTATAACGATACTTGAGAATTATAAATTATTAGAATGGTAGGATCATGCATAATCCAAAGTCAGAAATTGCTAACGCAAGAAAGATTCACAGGGTGAATATCAAACCAGCAAAGTCAATCTTAGAACCACTATCTCATCCCAAGCACTTGATCATAGAAGGCAATCACAAGCTTTAGTGCAATTATAGTATTTTCATAGGATGAAATTTAAGACTGTTAAATATTTATGCAATCGAAGCATACCAGCTTCAATATTGAAGTCTAGTTCTCTTGGAGCTTCTTTGCACCATTCATCTATCATGGGGTTAAAATTGTACTGTGGTTCTGCCCACGCTATCCAGTCAACAATGGACTTTGCATTCTTTAAGTCCTGTTAAGAAATGAAAAGAGAAGAGGAGTTGAAAGAAGTGTCAACAGTCATATAATAGCTATAGCTCTCCACAGTTCATCTCAAAGGCTTCATAACGAAACTAAGACTAGACCTCCAAAATAATCGCTCTAATGCCAGCATGCTGAACTTTAACAACCACATCCTGGCCATTAGCTAGAGTTGCACGATGAACCTGTGCTATCTACAAAACAGAGAGCTCACTATCAAAAACGCATACAATTTTCCAGCCATACAGTGACTTGGAAGCATCTGGCTTCTATTGATTTAAAGGTATGCGGCTCGAACAGATTTCAGAAGTTTTACCGAAGCAGTTGCTAAAGGTTCGTCAACAAAATCGGTGAACAGAACATCCATGGAATGCCCCAGCTCTCTTTCAATGGTTCGACGAACCTGAGAAAAGACAATACAGAAATTCAAAAAACCATATTACAATGGCAACTATATTAACAATAAAAATAGAAACTTTTGCTTTTCTCTGTATTAGATTAACAACCTCCTGCAAAGGGCGAGGAGGGAGCGAGTCCTGCAGCTGCGTGAGAAGAGATATATAAGCCTGAGGAAGAACATCAGCACGAGTGGACAGATACTGCCCAAGCTTCACCCATAGCCCTTCCAACTCCACTATCAAATTCAAAACTCGCTTTGCATTGCGTTCGTGAGCTTTCTCCCACAAAGCAGGAACTTTGGACTTCTTCATCCACTTCTCTCTTTGCTGGACACTCTGCACTCCACACAACAACAAACTGTGACTCAGAGAACACTAAAAACACGAACAGAAAAAGAATAGATAAACAGATCAAAAAGCTTACCTTATAATCGAGGTAAATGAGTATAGCTACTGAGAAGACTTTCATCCGTCTTCTGTAAATGTTTCCCCAACCCATTGATACAAAGTTACGCCAAACTCTCTGGATACTTGCTAAGAGTCTCACGAAATACGATAAGAGACGATCCAACGCTACTGAACACCGGTTATTCTACAGAATCAGATCAAAAACAGAGATTCTTCGGTTATTCAAAAGTTTTGGAATTTGGGTAACAACGATTGTGAAGAACAGATTGGCGAAATCAGGAATTCCGATCAGAGAACCCAGATCGTGAAAATGAGGATTCGGAAGAAACATTTTTACCTGGAATGAACCAGAATTGTTTCCGCGAAATCGCGAATTCCGCATATAAATAAGCAGATGCGTGAATTGTAAATACTCTTTGTTGAATTATCTCTCTCCTGGAAAATTCCCAGAAAAAAATGTCTTTTGAAAAATCGTCGAGCGGCTTTTGGGTAGGTGAGAGCTGAACGTAAGGATTCGTCTACAAAGTTGAAGACAAAGATCTACAAAGACGCGTCATGCGTTTTCTTCAGTCTTCAATAAGTTTTTTTTTCTTTTTGTTGGGACGAAACGAAAAGTAAAAAACCAAAACCCCCGCGAAGCAATGAATCTATACCGCAGATTCTTATGGGACCCACACATCCCTCTTAGAATATCAGAGATCTGATAGATTCTTTTGAGGCTTTCTATTTTCACACGTGACGGGCCCATAAGCCCAAGATTTGTGATCTTAAATGGCCCACGTGAACTAACTCAGTTCATTCAAACCTACGTCGCCTAATCCATACCAATCACGGAAGATGCGTTTAGTAACCAACCCATCCCACATATAAAAACCACACATGCTACATGAACTTGTGATTATTGATCATATCAAACACTGATCTGTGTATTGTATATGTCATAACAAAATTTAACAAAAAAATTGATCCGATAAAATGTATCCTATTTCGTTATTTTTTTGTGAAGTATATATATGGTTATTGATTTAAAGTATATATCAGCTCAACATACTTTACTTGTAATTCTTAGAATTAAACGTAGTTTTATAATATTGCTAGTAAGAATTAATATAAAACTTACAGTTGTGAAAAAAACTATGCAATTTGCAACCATACCAGTAATTAACATGTAAACCATTATATTTCATGCAAGGCGCAACACTGCTTAAGCAAAAAAAAAAAAAAAAAAATACCTATCTTAAGTAATTAATAAAAATTAATCGGAGATAATATTTCATATCTCATATATAAGATGTTGCTAGTAACTTCACAATGTTTTGGAAGCATTAATAAACTATACAAGAGCTGTCTTGGGCAAAGAAACATGGTTTCATCAATGCCACACCTTCTCCTCCTTCTTCTTATATTCACTTCACTTACTCATAACTATAGCCTTGAAGATGGTATCTTGAACGATCAACCAAACGGTTTCTTTTTACCCTTCGAATCAAATCTCTACGTGGAAATCACCATTGGGACCCCAACACGAGCCTTCAACCTCAAGCTAGACTCTTCTACGCATCTCACATTCCTCGAATGCGATCCCTGCGATGATGATCACCAATGCTCCATCTCCGACACAACCCGACGCTACGACGGCAAATCTTCGACCACCTTCTCTCCAATATCGTGCAATAACTCTTCTCTCTGTCCTCATCTCTCCCCTAATGCCACTAACCATATCAATGCGACAACAACGAAAACAACTCTGTCTCTTCTCTGCACTCCTTCCGATTCCTGCCGCTACGACGTCTCTGCCTTCAGCGCCGGCTACCTCGTTTCCGACACTCTTCAGTTGACTTCTTCGATCACCGACCAAGAAAACTCTCTCTCCATAGTTCGTGGGTTTGTCTTCGGCTGCGGGACTAGCAATCGTGTGACGCCGGAGGACGACGGAGGCGGCGTCGACGGGAGAGTGAGTCTGACGACTCATCGTTTCTCGCTCCTCTCTCAGCTTCGCGTCACCAGATTTTCCCACTGCCTATGGCCTTCCTCCGCCGGCTCGCGTAACTACATTCGTCTCGGATCAGCGGCTCAGTACGGCGGAGATATGATGCTGGTTCCGATGTTAAATACAACGGAAACGAACTCTTACTCGTATCACACTGCTCTCTTCGGGATCAGTCTTGGGGAACATAGGTATATATATTATCTCTTTTTAAATTAGCCTATTAAACGTAGCTAACATTATTAAAATGAAACATTTGATATACTATTTTACTTAACCAACTACATAGATTCAAGCTCTTGAAATTAACAAAATAGATTATCTGTTTATTTTTTACATATAAAAGCATCAGCATTTTTTATAATTATTTTCACAAATATACATCATCTAAATAAAAACGTTTTATCTACGTTTTTACTAATTTCTATTAATTTTTGTATTTGTTATCTTAAATTTTTTAAATTTTTCACAACCAAGTTTTTTTTTTAATTACAAACCATCCATTGTATAAGTATGTTCACGAACTTTTTTTTTAATTAGAATGAGAAGCAACGAGACTAGTACAATAGCAGTAGATATTGGGACGTACTATACGCGTCTCGAGGCATCACTCTACGAGGAGGTGAAGGAAGAGCTGATGGCGCAGATTGGACCAACGGTCGCATATGAAGTGAACGAACTAATGTGTTTCACAACAGAGGCTGGTTTAGAGATAGAGTCATTGCCCAAACTCACTCTTCATTTGCAAGGATTCAATTACACAATCTCAAACAAAGGACTTTATCTCCGAGACAGCCCATCTTCTCTCTGCACGGCCTTGGTCAGATCGACCATGGAGGATGAAGAACAGAATGTGCTTGGAGCATCAGGACTTGTTGATTATGCCGTTGGCTATGACACCCTAGATATGATACTTGCCTTTCAACAAAGAGATTGTTTGACCGATTTCGTAGATGGTATGTAGTAGTTACCTTATTCTAAATATTTGTAATCGATGATGGTTATATCGTTCACGTATCATTACGTTATCATTACAAGACAATAAAGAATATCAAATTTTCATAAATATCGAGAAGTCGAAACTTCTGAAACTATTGAGTATCCTCACCCTATGACATTAGTAGAGAATTAAGTGTTATTTACGAGATTAAGACATTTTCATTGGCCAACACAAGTAAATTGTAACAATTCTGGACAATTGCATCCGTTTCATGTAAGTATGATCGAATGACTAAACATGCTATTTTTAATTTTTACTAGACAATGGTTTTACTAAATAGCGTTTTTTTATTGTAGTCCACATAATTATTATGTGTACGATATTTTTTATGTGGAAGTTTAATTATTAAACAAAATTATATATCTGTTATCAGCCGTCTTAAAAATCTATATACTTACTAGTTTAAAAACAAATTTGATTATTATAAAATTGTTACTCCAACTTTAACCCCCAAAAAAGAAAGATTGTTACTCCAAAGATGATTACGAAGAAGAAAAACAAAATATGTAAAATTTAGTTAACGAGCAAGGTTTACTGGGAAAATAATAATAATTCAAAACCATCGAATTTTGTAAAAAAGAAATTTCAAGTTATCAAATTAATAGATTTGTTTTTAAACTAGTTTTTTTTTTATCAGAATGTGAATGATCAACGCCCCTAAATAATTTACAAATCAAAACAAGAATCACTTTCCCTAACGAATGATGATGAAAAAGTCGTTTCAAAAAAATTATCTTAGCTTTGAAGCTTGGATATTTACATGGCCCGAGCAACATATAATGCAAGGAGATAAGGGCGGCGCATTGTTGGCGGCCACCACTTCTTTTACCTTCTATTTTAGTTTCCCACTTACTTATTTAACAAGCTATATCTATATACATGCATAAATCTGCAAGTTCTAACTAAGAAAACATTTTCTAGAATCTACATGTATATATGTTGATGCATGATCATGTATCCCGGTTTACATCAATGTTACCAACATGAGCCATACTAATAGTCTAATAATACCCTAACAATCCCGGTTTACATCAGTGTTACCTAATCATGTATATATTTTTAGGTAGTCGAATCTTGTGAAAGCAAAAGCATTGATCATAATTATACATATCACCGACTATTTAACCAATTGAATCCACTAAAACTAAAACACCAGTTAGTTTATGCTAATATTCTTTAAGCAATAACGTAATCCAGTCCTCCTTATAAAGAAATATTCGGTAATTCTCCGCTTCTAAGTATTGTTTCAATTTTGTGTGTTTCAACAAATTTTAAGGGTTGTGTGAATTAGGAAGACCACCCAGTAGACAGTAGTGTTTGACTAAACATACTTATTTATACCTGGCGAGCGTTATAAGATTTATAAGATTGAAGGTGGTAATAAATATGTAGAAATTTAGAAACATGATAATATCTAAAATAATTATTTCACGCGCGGAATGCATAAATCTGTAAAATAAAAGTACACCTCTCAATATCTAAATACATATCTGTCATGTTTCTTTTTATATTCTCCTTTTCGATTTTTTTTCTGGATTCTTATTTAGCATGAAGGCCAATCACCACTAATGCAAACAATTCTTTGACTTCAACATTTTCTAAAGAAGTAAAATATTTATTTAGTTCAAAGTAGTGGAACCAATGCGCGCACCATCTTCTATATTCCCTCTCTCCTTCCATGCGGCCCCTTTCCCAAAATTAACATGTTTTTTTTTACGGCAATTAACATGAATTGTATCGAATATTTATGTGTTTATATTAAATCGTACGCAGTAGAAAATGGCTAACAAAATTTACATATGAGATAAGTATATATACAAATTAAAAAAAAAACAAATCATTCAATGTTCAGGAAAAAAATATTATCCTAATTTGTTTTTGAATTTATCCACGTACATTGGATGATATTATTCACGTATTATAAGTTAAGTTGAGAGAATCGATCGACTGATGTAAAGATTTTGAGAAGTGTACTAAGATTTTATGAGTGGGTGGTGGAAAGGCCGTGCCGTGAGAAAGGCCGAGTCTTTTGACAATATAACATTATTGCCTTTATGTTGAGCACTAGAGCCACTTGCTTTAGGAATCTTTAGCTGATTGTCGAATATATATTTATATGTAAATGTATATAATATTAGACCGGAGACGTTGTATAGTTTATATGTCTCTCTCTTATAAATACCTCTTCTCATTCCACTCCCTAAACCCATCACAATAACTCATATTAAGTTTGATGGAGATATACGTGCCCAACGGAGCAGAATTGCATGAAGTTGAGTAGAGTATAATGCAGCCAAGGATGACTTGCCGGAACGTTGTTCATCATGCATCATCATGCATATATGATAATGATGATGATTATGGTGATAAACATATTTCTGGCAAGTTGTCCTTCGGCTATATTTTGCTCTCTTCTACTCATGCAAACTCTCCATGGGACATTTTACCTTTTCATTCTTTCAAAACGGTTGTATTAAATCAGAAGTCCAACATATAGGTATCATACCATATCTTTATCTATACATATATTTATTTTTGTTAAGCTTATCACGAATTGTTCTTGGAGACATATTTGAATGAAGGTAGATTTTATGCATAATCTGTAATGAACCATAGATCGAACCAGAGAATTTATAGAGACATCGATATCTCTATATATATGAAGATGCAGTATATTTAATGATATTAAAACTGTCAATGAATTCAGTCCACCAAATGGATTTGAGATTCATATTGTTTAGAAATGCAAAACAGGTTTTGTGGAATTAAGATGAACGTGGACACAAAGTTTGGTGGATGCGGATCTTGTCTGCATAAATCGTTTCACATGTTCAAGAGATTAATCTATGAGCATATAATGTATTGGGCAAAACTGTTCGGGAGTAAGTCGCAGCAACAGTAACAAGCGACAGATTTTTTTTGTCCTTTGAGATCTAAGTATATGGAAAGTCGCAGTGACCACATGATAGTGACTATAGGGACATTTCAGTTGCCGTTGCTTTTTCTTTTTGCAGCTCATAGGTGCCGCTGCGACATGAAAATGAAATTGTGGCGTTCCAGTAGAACAATTCTAATCTATGCATACTCTATATATATGCATAGGTTTAGAATGGTACAGAACTACAGATCATACCATAAAGACAGTGCAAAAATCCACTGCGATGCGTACGGTGTAGTTGTGTGGTTTTTGAACAAAGGTTTATGGTGTAGTTGTGTAGTTGTTTGGAATTATATTGTAAATTTTCATTTTTGAACTTTTTATATGTAAATATAACAAAAAAGCAACCATAATTCGTATGTTGTTTTTCTTGGTGATAAACTGTAATAATATCAAGCGATGAAGAAAAGAGAAAAGAAGCCGAAATTTCTGGAATATGTTGAAATGTGTGCGTTGTCGGTTTTGGAAATATAAGGTACTATAGGCCGACAAAAGCTGAGATGTAATAAAGATTTTGGCCAGGCAATCATAAATCCAAATCTTTGTGCATTTTATAACAATGACATTCATCATCACTTTCCTCTTTAAAATGTATAGTTTTTTTTAGTTACGTGCATTATCATCATGTTCCTATCGTATCCTTTTTTTCTTTTTCTTTTTTTTTGGTTGTTTATAAGATCTGCTGAGCATATAAAGAACCGGATAGGACAAGAAGAAAAGGCCACCGTTTATTATGAAAAGCAAAACGCACTCAACTCTCAGTTTCGATATGTTTCTAAGAATGGTATCATCACAGGCACAGCTACTCATTCCGACTTATAACTTAATTTGTAATAGCTAGTTAAGGATTTTTTTTAGTTTGATTGATAGTTTTTAGAGTAGATACTTTTGTTGTGAACTATAATAACTATACATTATTTATTTCTTTATTTTTTTAATAAAGGGTTTATTTCTTTATTTTCTTAACTCATATTGTAATTTATTGAACAATTTACACATTGTCTACTACATTTCATTTTTTATTTTATTTTGGACTTTTTTCTGCGTGCAATAATCTTTCATCTTTAATTTTTTTTTTAATTTACTGAATATTAGATAGATCAATTATAGCTTTTGAAATATGAATATATGATGAAAGGAAAATCATGAGAAGAGAGTATAAGCCTAAGTGAAGTTTTGATTATTAAACACATTATTTATTGCATTTAACAAAGTTATATACAAAATACTGTAGTACTATACTAGCCTAGCATTAAATATTCTGAAACGAAAATGTTTTAAAAAACAACGCCAACTTTAAAAATTTCCTTATTTTCTTGTAGTGTAAGATAATAGGTCACCTACTAAAAGAGAAATAAGTAAAACTCGTTATAAACATTTAATGAAAAGTACAGGCAAGAGGATGCATCTACATGCACGTTATTACTTTCGGTCTCTACTAACGTTTAATAGGGTTTCACGCACATGGACTCATACGGTCATACCACACTCTTCATTAATTCAGTCGACATAATATTTGAAATTTTTGCGTGTGAATTGAGTTTCCATATAAGATACCGCAAACCAATTTTGACCTTATACTTATGATTATATTCATCTTTACGCGTCGATCGATATGCATTTACGTATATGATTTTTTGTTTTTTTTTTGTGGGGGCAAATGACACTTGATATTCAAGTTGATCGAGACCTGTCCAAGGAGAAGCAACTGGCACACACACACAAAAAAAAAACAATAGAAATAGAGACATAGTAGTACTGTTGAATTTGTCGGATCTATCATGGCCTCCATTAAGTAAAACATGCAATTTAATATTCATAAAAATAAAGAGAAAAGGCGTTAGACCAAAAAAATTCATAAAAAAGTGGTCAATATTAAAATTTAAAGATTTGATGAGGGAAGTGAGAAAATGAGGAAATATATGAGAATGAGAAGATGGGGGTCTTACCCAAAATGGATAAGGCCATGAAAAGATTCGAGCATGAGAGGGATATATATGATATGAATATGAAAGGTAACAATAGTTTAATATATGAAAAGCTGTGATTGATTGATTCTCCCCCCTTGCGTTACCTTTTGTTTTGCAAGTTGACTAGTTGACACGCACTGACACACATGATAATCAGTATTACACAACGTAATTAGGTATAGGTCATATGCATGTATGATGAATATTTATAATGTTAGCTTCCTAATCCTACCAAGACTTCAAAAATGCAAGGTTCTGTAACAAAACATCAAACAAGAGAGCAAATAACAATTTGTAAATCAATTTCTGGTTAAAAGAAATCCAACGGAGTATATTCATCAGCTCAACCAAAATATCATGATCCAAGCTTTTCATATCATTTGAAACTCGGTCTAAAACTATACAAACTTTCGAAATTGGTTTTATATCACTTATATTTAAAATTGAGCCTAAAACTTTTTAACCATTAAAATCCAAGAAAATCTAAACATAATTCAATTGACGTGTCAGGCCCCTCCATGTTGGGATGGACATATTATCCGTTAAATTTGATTCGATTCGTTATTTGCTTCGATTCGATTCGAAAAATCTGGATATCCGTAACGATTCAAAGCAAAGCAAATATTAAAATATAGTATCTATCTAAAACAAATCAAATCGTAAATACTAATTTTCGAAAGTTCAGATATCCACTATGATCCGCAGATTACATATATACATATTAATATTATAAATATTTAATGTTTTTATATAATTTAATTATCTTATTAACAAATAAAAAAAGAATATATATGATAAAAAATACATATAATAATTTTAAAGTAAGTGATAAACATCTACAATAGTTATCAAATATTTAAAAATAAATTAAAAAAGTTTATATTAGAGTTTTAATTAATTAATATTATTTTCAGAATATAAAACATAGTTTTTCTTTTTTTATCATTATAATTTATTATTATATCTGCTTTTTAAAATAAAAATAGTTATATCACTTATTTTTAATTGGTAGTTCATATTTTAAAAAGAAACGCATGTATTTTCACCTTTTGTTTGTATTGAATGGAAAAAATTTAATATCCATAAGTATCCGTAAATATCTGCAAATATCCGCAAATATTTGTAAATTTTCTGGATATCTGCATTTCCAAATATCCGTATTTTTTCGAAGCAAAACAAATCACAAAATCAAATATCCGATAAAAACGGAGCTAACCATAGTTACTCAAATTTTTCTGGATATCCGCTCTACGGCCAGGCCTACCTCCATGCACTGAGAAATCTGATCCTCTTGAATTTAAAAAGGATAATAACGATCCTCTTATTTAATAAGAATGTGGAAAAGGTTGGCTCTAGAAAGAGAGACCATTGCATTGGTCCATAACTTGTTTTATAAAACAAATTTAAACATAATACATTTATCTTTTTCGTGGTGTAAAAGTTTTAGACCAAGTTTCAATAATAGTTTTAGGATGACTTATACAAGTTTGTGTAACCAGAGAAAGAGGTCAAAAGCATATAACATAACTTAGGTTACAAAGATTTTGGATAACGACCTTTATCTATCAAGTCTATAATAGGATGGTATAAGGTAGTATGAAACTACTGTACATATGAAACCAAAGGCTATGTTAAGCCTGAGCCCAAAAAACACTAATTAAGGGTAATTATGGGCTAAGGCCCATCATAAGCATGAACCCTAATATTCGTCAAACGTGTGTGTGCCCAGAACGAAGGGCTCTGCTCATGATTCTGATGACATTTGCAACCTGGATCAGGTATGCAATTCCGACTCTTTTCCGAATATTATTTCTCCGCAAGGCTTATGTTGTTACCTAACACATGTGCATTTCAGCTTAAGATCAGAAAATGTGTGTTCTCTGATTTCTACCGGAGCTCAATTCAAATCTGCAATTGGATGCGTATGCGATAAGATGGAGCAATAAATCAATCGCGATTGTGCTCGTACCACTGATGCGCATCTTCCAGATCAGAAAGCCATATTCTTCTGCGAGCTTCTTCTCTGCTTTCTGATATGTTGTTGCATAGCTTTATCTGATTAATCCATGGCTGTAAGTTTGCAGGCTTCTCTCCTCTTACACAGCTCTGTTTTGTTCGCTTGTTTATACACAAAGTGTTAAAATTTGTTGTTTGATAAATTTTCGGATGCAGCTTCTCATTTCTTGTGGGGAAGTTTCCTCTTCCCAGCTCATTGTACTTCGCTTGCTCAACCAAAGCCTTGATTTTGTAAGCGAGAATGTCTCCAGGATCTTTGCTCCTATTTTCACCAACCTAAGGTACCTGAGTAAATTCCTCTTTTTTTCTTGATTATCTATTGGTTTCTATGATCATCTGTTTGCTGATTGTCTGCTTTATGGATTTGTAGGGACTTCGAGATGCGTCTATCTTGTACTGAACGTCCTCAATCAGATTCTGTGTATCATTCTCACTCGTGTACCCAGAATTGGTTTTCTGATCAAAACGATTATGACGAAAAGAGAGACCCGGAAGCTAATTTCAATGCGCTGGATTCAATCTTGAAAAGCAGTTTGGATCGTCTGGCTTCTTTGAGGTTTATATTTTTTCACCAGTAACTTAATGGTTTGTACTCTCTGACAATTTTTATTTTCGAACTGCTTCTGATGAAGTTCACAACTCTGCTTTCTCTTGTAGGGAGAGTGTATGTAGGACAAAGAGATTCAGATACGATGAATCTATATCTATGCACGCGTCTATAATGAGGGATCTCTGTTTACAAGGGAAGCTAGACGCTGCTCTGTGGCTACGGAAGAAGTTGATACAAGGTGGATATATTCCAGGTTTGATCACACACAATCATCTTTTGAATGGGTTGTGTAAATCAGGTAATATCGAGAAGGCGGATGGGCTTGTTAGAGAGATGTGGGAGATGGGTCCTTCTCCCAACTGTGTCTCTTATAACACCTTTGTCAAGGGTCTTTGCAGTGTTAACAATGTAGATAAAGCTCTCTATCTCTTCAGTACAATGAATAAATATGGTGTTAAGCCGAATAGAGTGACTTGCAACATAATCGTTCATGCGCTTTGCCAGAAAGGTCTTATGAGAAGCACAGAGCTTCTTGAAGAGATCTTACATAGTAGCCAGGCGAACGCACCATTGGATATAGTCACATGCACCATTCTGATGGATAGTTGTTTTAAGAATGGCAACGTGGTTCAAGCCCTTGGAGTTTGGAAGGAGATGTCAGTGAAAAACGTCTCTGCTGATTCGGTTGTGTACAATGTCATTATTCGCGGTTTGTGTTCGAGTCAAAACACGGTAGCTGCTTATGGGTTCATGTGTGACATGGTAAAGAGAGGAGTGGATCCTGACGTTTTCACATACAATACCCTCATAAGCGCTTTGTGCAAAGAGGGGAAGTTCGATGAGGCATGTGATATCCACGGTACCATGCGAAGAGTTGGTGTCTCTCCTGATCAGATCTCATACAAAGTTATCATTCAAGGTCTATGTATACACGGAGATGTGTCCAGGGCGAACGAGTTCCTTTTAAGCATGCTAAAGAGTTCTCTGCTTCCAGAGGTTCTGCTATGGAACGTGGTCATCGATGGTTATGGAAGATATGGAGATACTAGCAGCGCTTTATCTGTTCGAAATCTGATGCTTTCTTACGGTGTTAAACCGAATATCTACACAAACAATGCCTTGATCCATGGGTATGTGAAAGAGGGAAGATTCATTGATGCATGCAAGCTCAAAGATCAAATGCCATCTACCAAAATCTACCCGGATACTACCACTTATAATCTGCTACTAGGTGCTGCTTGTACAATGGGCTACTTGCGGTTGGCTTTTCAGTTGTACGATGAAATGCTGAAAGGAGGATGTCGACCTGACATGATTACTTATACTGAGCTGGTAAGAGGGCTGTGTTGGAAGGGTCGGCTGAAGGAGGCCGAGAAGCTTTTGTCGAGGATGCAACTGTCTGGTATAACATTGGATCATGTTCCATTTTGGATACTTGAGAAGAAATATACCAGATTGCGGAGACTAGACGAGGCGTATTTAGTTAGACAAAAGTGGTTGATGACGAGGAACGGAGGAGTCGCGTGTCCAGGCAAGGTAAAGCACGTGCAGACAGAGCAGCAGTAATGTGGTGCAAGTCTATTCAGTATTGCCTGTCTGGTAGCTGTTCTGATACGGACATTTGAGCTATGTTCTGTTTCTTTTGAATATGAGCCAACCATTTGATTGTTGAAATTATCCATCTCAAGTCCTGATGCATAGAGAATTTGACGTGAGGGACGACGACAGAACCTGGTTCAGAAATATCGATCTTGGTGAAGTGAAGTCACATAGATTACGAATGCCTCGGTTCTTTTACATGCGAGGATACCTCAACTGGTACATTGCTTTCTTTTTCTTGAGAATCAGTTGATATGTGTTCTTCGCATTCCTCACAAGTTGTAATTATATTCAGGTTTTGATAGATGATTTTGGATCTCAGGGCACACAGGGCTGTTTCTTCAAAAAAACTCCCTATATACTTTTTTTCATTTCAAGGAAAATGAAAATCTGTCGCTCTTAAGCATTGTCTTGGCCTATTACAGTACATCCTTTAATATATTTAGCTGTGTAGATGATGTTATTGGTCCCTACTACATGATGAAGATTGGTTCATGTACAACGAGATGCTAACATAAGGCCACATTCTCTTGTCTTGATAGAAGAATAATTTATAAATTTCTGTAACTTCTACATATCTCAATAAATTTGAAGTTAAGAAAGAAGATTGTGTTACAACAATAAGAAGTTCAGTACAAAGAAAAAAGAAAGATCGAAATCAAGAAACATATGCAATGCGTCTGAAAACTGCTCTGAAAGTTTGTCCTCCATTCCTAGCAACTTTTTGTCCTTCCTCCGTAGCATTGCATAGAAGCTCAACAACAGGATCCGAATCGATCTCTTCTTGTGTCAGAGATTCAAACATCGGATGTTTCTCTAAGCAAGACCTCATCCACTCTCCCAGCTCCTCAACATCAGTGATTGTGTATATGATCCCACCAGCTCTAAGAACGTAAGCATACTCATCAAGCAAATGGTTGCTGATCACTCTCCTCCTGTGATTCGACTCCTTGAAATGTGGATCAGGGAAGAGGAAAAACATCTTCGAAAGCTGTCCTTTCTCAAAGTAATTCGGGATGTACTTCATCGAGTTTGTCCTAACGACAGAGATGTTCTCGTACTCTCCCGACGAGCTCGTTCTCCTCAAGGCTAAGATCCGTTCCTTGACGTATTCCGTAACTTTGTCTCTCAGCTCCATACCGATCATTAGCGTTTCGGGGAAGAGCGTCGCAAGGGAAATGAGTAGCCCACCGAAACCGCATCCGATATCCGCAAACTCAATCTTCTTGTTAGCTTCGATGAGTTTGGGAAAGTGAAGTGAAAGGTCGACATGAGCTGGGGAAATCGGGATCGGGAAGTGAGAATCACTAAGTGGGTTACTGTGTGCTCTTGCTCTGTAGAAACGCTTCCGAGGAAGCCCTGTAGATTTGCAAGAGGTTGATTTCGTCTTACTCTCCATATTCACTTGGCACACAGAGATAAGAAAAAACAGTGAGCGCATAATAAACACACAGTCTTTACGAATTTGTTCTCCTACGCTAAATTCTCAATATCGGAGGCCTGATCTAGCTCAAACATTGCGAAAAGGAAGGAACTTTTGATAAACCGAACCAAATCTGCAAGACCCAGTAAATGCATAAACCCTAAACCCTAAGAGAAAGCTAGAAGCATGGATTCGTAGTTACATATACCAATACGAGCACAGGAAACAGACTAACTAAAGAGTGGATTACCTGATTCAATCCGCACTTGGAAGCACAACCTCGAGCTCCTTGTTCTTCGCAACCTACCAAACCTCCGAGAGAAGAAGGAAAACCAGAGAGAAGAAGATCTTAGCTACTAATTAGGGTTCTCTCATACTCTCTATATGGGCCCAAACCCATAACTCATTACAGCCCATTAAGATCTTAGCTACTAATTAGTGTTTCTCTCCGGCCGGTATTTCAGTTTTATTCACGCGCGCAGTACAAATTCTCATTGAGAAGTTGGTAAAATTATCACACACTTCACAGAATGGTTTTTGAAAATCTTGTAATATGAACTGCTTATTTTAAATTAATACAACTTCTGATAGTGCACGAGAATTCCCAAAAAACAAAAAAAAATTGAGATAATACCAGTGTCGTCCCGTATAATAAGGTGGCTTAAAGCATAGCTGCATAGTAAGGTGGACCACTTGATAAAGATCATTTCCATATTGCTTACAGCAATTTTAACATATGTGAATTATTTTTTTGGTGTTTTTTCTGGTATGATGGAGTATTTTTGGTATTTTTTCTTGAAAATAGTATATATATACATATATACACATACATATATATATTATACGTCATTAAAAGTTCGAAGATATTGTTGTCTAGGTTTTGTGGGGCCGCACAACTTTAGTTATCCGATTATCAAAAGTCAAAACTAACTCCGTTTCTTTAGATGATCCAACGGTTATGAAGGCAGAGACTTAATTTTACAACGGTAAGAAAATAGAGAGAGTTAAAAAAAATAGCCGTTATAGAAAAACCATGCCACAAATAACACAGAAAGCCTACTTCAAATCTTCTCTTCCTCTGCGTTTATCATTTTCAATTACAAATCGTTTTTTTCTCTCCCAGTTTCTCTAGAGTTAAATCAAAGACGTTTATCCAATGAGTTTTTGTTTTCTTGTTTTGGTTTTATTTGCTCTGTTTTCGTTAGTGGGTGAATCGAAATGGCTGAAGTAAAAGAACAGCTTTTCCGTGAATCAAGAGACCCAGCCGATTGGTTATCTTCCCTCTTCGTCTTCTGATTCCGGTAATTTACTCAGCGAACTCTTTAGGGTTTATTTGTCATGCTTTACTCGATCTGGTTTCTCAACATCAACAAGAGTTGGGATTAAGTTTGCTGTGTGATTGGTCGTAATTTTGGAATTTTTATGTGGCTTTGCAATTTAGAAACTGCGTTCCAAATTTTTTTACAATACTAAAGCTTCCTTGATCTTGATCTCTGTTTTTGGTTGAGGCTGTTCAGAACCCTCGACATCGTCTCACGAGTAAGCGTCAATTTTATCCCCTTTGGTCATGTCTCCGATTAGTTTCCTCAAGTTAAAACTCCATTATCTCCTTTCATTGTTCGTAAAATTGAACTTTTTGTTGACCTGATTGTCTCAATTGAACGATTGGTTGACTTCTAGGAACATTTATCTGCCTGCTTCGTTTTAGAAATTGCAATTATTGAAGATCTTCTTCTTTCTCTGTGCACTGTAAAAAAACTTGACTAGTGTTTTTGAAGTTGTAAGCTTTACTTAACATCGCAGACCTCCTGTAGCTAGGAAAGTGATTTAAAAAACTGGGTTTTGCAATAACAGTGTTCTCTAACCTGATGTTCCTGATTTGAGATTTGAGATTTTTTAGTCTTTGATGGTGGAGTCATCACGCTTGTTCTCTATCTCATGAATTAAAATTAATATTACTTGAACTTGTTTATTGCGTATGTTAGGAGAAGATAAAGATTCCTGGCTTAGGTAATTGTGCAGCTTCAATTCCAACAAGAAATGGCTGCTGCAAGTGCTGCTCTACCCACAAACTACGTCTTCAAGCCATCTCCATACTCTCTGGTATGATTTTATTTATTTGTTTCTTCAAATCAATTGGACTTGTCTCCGCAAATGTCATTTTGTTTTGGTTGAGTTATTAATTTTTTTTTTACTAAATAATAATAGTGTTTTAATAGTATCAAAACCACTAGAAAAAGAGCATTTCCTAAAACTTTTTCCTTCTTATCTGTTTAAATTATTAGACGAATTAAAGAATTTTGATTGCTAAATTGCATAATTGTGAAAACACATCGAATATTGCATCCAGTCATTTGACGGTTAGAAGTGTCATATATTCAACATGTTTTCATACCATATTATAAGTTTTAGTAATTAAATTTCTATTAATTTTCTAATAAAAACATTTTCTTTATTCACTAATAAATATAGCTTTCAATATTAATTCTTTAAAAAATTAGTATTTTAAAATTTTTCCTTTTTTATCACCATTTATATTATTAGATGAATTAAAGAAATTTGATTCCTAAATTATATAGTTGTGAAACAGACCGAATATTGCATCCAGTCATTTGACGGTTAGAGGTGTCATATGTTCAACATGTTTTCACACCATATTGTAAGTTTTAGTAATCAAATTTCTATTATTTTTCTAATAAAATCATTTTCTCTTATTTACTAATAAAAATAGTTTTTAATATTAACTCTTTTAAAAATTAGTATTTTTAAACTTTTCCTTTTTTTATCAGTGTTTATATTATTAGATGAATTAAAGAAATTTGATTGCTAAATTGCATAATTGTGAAAACAGACCGAATATTGCATCTAGTCATGTTCAACATGTTTTCATAATATATTGTAAGTTTTAGTATTCAAGTTTCTCTTAATTTTCTAATAAAATCAATTTCTCTTATTTACTAATAAAAATAGCTTTTAATATTAACTCTTTTAAAAATTAGTATTTTAAAACATTTTCTGTTTTATCACTGTTTATATTATTAGATGAATTAAAAAAAATTGATTGCTAAACTACATAGTTGTGAAAACGGACCGAATATTGCATCCAGTCATTTGACGGTTAGAAGTGTCATATGTTCAACATATTTTCACAGTATATTGTAAGTTTTAGTAAATTTCTCTTATTTACTAATAAAAATAGCTTTTAATATTAACTCTTTTAAAAATTAGTATTTTTAAACTTTTTTTTATCACTGTTTAGTTATATGAGTTCAAGAAATTTAATTGCTAAATTACATAGTTGTGAAAACAGACCGAACATTGCATTCAGTCATTTGACGGTTAGAGACGTCATATGTTCAACATGTTTTCACACCATATTGTAAGTTTTAGTAATCAAGTTTCTATTAATTGTTTAATAGATTTTTTTCTCTTATTCATTAATAAAAATAGTATTTTTAAACTTTTCCTTTTTTAATCACTGTTAAAAAAATCATATGTTTAACATGTATGCTTTCACACTATATTATAAGTTTTAATAATTAAGTGATTATTAAATTGCATAGTTGTGTTATCACCAAACTTTGGTCGTTAAAATGATCATATGTTTAACATGTATGTTTTCACACCATATTGTAAATTTTAATAATCAAGTTTTTATTAATTTCCTAATAAAAATATTTTCTCTTTTTCACTAATCAAAAATAACTTTGTAATATTACTCTTATAGCAAACTTGGTTTACTTATGATTATTAGTTTAAAATAGTGTGACCCTTATTATTATAAAAAAAAAGAATAGTATTCAAATTACTTAAATATTAAAGAGTGCATCTAATACTGTTCGAACAAATGATAAGAAGACTAGAAGTGAACCTACTTAACCTCCTAATTACAAACAATTTTTGGAAAATGTGGCCTATAATTCTGTTTTATATTATGTGGCCTAACACTAATGCTTGGCCAGCTTTAGAGCAGGGACGGGTCTGGATAATACAAACTCGTGTGAAGATTAGTTTTCTCTAAGGACGACCATTGTTTCTTGAACTTCTCCCACTGTGACTCCCTCTGAAACCACCAGACTTGGACCTTCCAGAAGTTTGAGCATTACCATGCAACAACGGCACAACTGTGTCCATATACATCAATCTCCCAGGCCAATGCCTCTTCTCTTTTGGAAGCCGACGCAGCTGCTGCACCCAAAACGCAACGTATTCTCCTTCTGGATCATAATTCTGTGCCTGAAAGAAACCAAGAATACAATTTTTTATTTATCACTTGATTGGACCAGGGATGTTAAAAGTTACTTACTTGTTTGGGAATGCTGAAGTACCGGTCTTCTCGGGGATCATTTCCAACTCCTTCAATGGGGGAAAACCAAATGTTCATCATCTAAACTTTCCATTTTTTCAATGTGAATTATAAAGAGCCACAAGTGCAAATTGTGTCCTCCAGGTGGTACGAGTAGTACCTGCTCCATAGGTCCAGTTTCCGTAATTAGAACACGGATCATAGTCCAATAGACATGTCTCAAACCATTCCGCACCCATGCGCCAGTCCAAGCCCATGTCCCGTACGAGAAACGAACAAACAATCTGGACAATGATTACCCAAATGAATGAACAATCAATCAATCATCCATTATAAGAAAATAGCTTATGATTTTGGCAAAGGGAGGCTAATCATAAATTTTCACCTGTCGGCCTCGATTTGACATGAAACCTGTAGTGGATAACTCCTTCATGTTTGCATCTATAATAGGATACCTATAACATTCATGAGCAGTCACTAAAGGTTAAGGCTATGGAGTTTGAAGCATATCATTGAGTAATCTTTCAAAAAAATCTTAAAATTCATAACACCAAATGACTCACCCGGTCTTGCCGTCTCTCCAAGACTCAAATAGCATTATATCTTGACTCCATTTCCCTTGCACATTTCTTGGACCACCTAAGTAGAAAATATGCTATTTAAAGTTCACTATTTTGACACTAAGAACAAAAAACTTCACTATAACCACTTAGCATTGACACTTTGTCCGGTAAGCATCGTTTACCTAGATGGAAGAGAGAGTTTCCACACTTAATCGAAAGAAATCTAAAGTAATCCCTCCATATTAACTCAAACAGCACCCTAGAAACATATAATAAAATCAATAGAGAGAAGTTAAAAACCAAGGACAAAGAGTTACTAGAATGCAACAGAGATTTTAAATTCAAGAACGACATACCAGTATGTTGAATTATTTGCTACTCTTTCGCTTTCATATCTTTGAACCTGCAAATTTTCAATTGTCACATTAAGTGAAAACTGCTATATATATTGGGATATTGAACAAAGGTTTGAATGTTCTGACCTCTTCGTAGATAAACCGAGGAGAGATGCACCCAAAGGCAAGCCATGGAGAGAATTTCGTCGAATAATCAGGTCCCAACATTCCGTTCCTCGTCTCTTTATATACTTTCAAAAGATCCTGTATTAAAAAAGACATACAACATTATGTACACGCACAAACATCGCCTTAGTAGACGCCGGAAAATTTCAGGACTTGATCTTGCCTTCTTCCAAAAGTACTCAAAAACTCTGCATACTCCTGCGCTTTCACCACCCACGAATCGCATTCCTCTGGTCACCTGTATCAACGTGCATATATAAAGACTTAAATCAATAAAGAATGCTTTTGTAACTTCCTCTTCTCTCTTGTCTTGACTGAAAATCTTCTCAGAGAAACTCACCTCTTGTGGCTCGATTCCAACTTCACCAAGAGTTGGAACATCTCCCCAGTTATCAACAGAAGGTGTTGGCCCTAGAGAAATTGGAATGCGAGTAAGGCTTCTGATCCTACACTTGGCTTCCACCGACTACAAGCGAGACAAACATCGATATCAAACAAATAACAAGTAACTAGTTGGAGCTTACTACAGATTCTTCCTCACAACTATTGTTTGTCAACTTAATACTCTTTCTTTATTTGTAGTTAGATATGCATTCCAATATTGAGCCAAGTTTCGTTACTAAATGAAGTGACATTGTCTGAATTGCTTACAAGTTAATAGCTCTTGCAGAACACTTCCTTTGTATTATATTTATTACGCAAACACAAGTATATGATTCTTCTTCCAACGTTTTTTACCTTGATATTGAAAAAAATTGTGTCCAATTTATTCAACTCAATGACCACACTACTAAATGTACGGTACTACTCAGAATTCATCAAGAAACACACCAAAACATGAACTATACCTTACGAAACTGAGTGTAGATATCTGGCAAATCAAGAACATCAAATGGAAGATCATCCTTGTGGTACATGGTGCTTCCCCAAACGAGCTCAAGCTTAGTGCCATTTCCAACCCCTTTCAAAGCTTGATTCACATGTCTTTCAACCTGTAGCTCCTCACTGCACGTTTCTTTATGAGCAAACACCTGAAGATATAAGATGAGAAAAAATCACATTTTTTCATGTCCCCCTCACAGAGCTCTGAAACTTTTAGCAACTTTATCAAAAGACTTAACTGTATGAGCTCCAAAATCTTTGGCAAGACAAGGAAGAATGTCTTCCGGTTTACCACTCCGAATAAGAAGATTCAATCCTCTTTTCATCAGATTCTTTCTCAAATCAGCCAAACATTCCATCAGAAAAGCACCTCTTAAAGCTGAACATTGCAACACACAACGTATATGGACATGATTGAATGATCAAGATGAAATTGGCTTTGAGATTCGAAACATTAATTACCTCCGGTTTTAGGGAAGCCGAAGAAATGAGTAGTGAGAAAGAGACGAGGATCGAGACAGTAAACAGGCAAAAGCGTATCGGAGGAAGACCAAGCTCTGTACAGAGCGTCGTTGTCGAGCACTCTGAGATCGTTCCTAAACCAGACAATCGCGGTTCCTTTGCCGTTTCTCTTCGCGGAAGAAGGCAATGCGTATCTCTCAAACGTTTTTCCGGCGACGGAGTCCATCTCTTCCTCGTCGAGCCCAGGAACACGGTAGATATGGCCGTTCATTTTTGCGGCGGAGCAGAGGATCAGAGAGGGAATGGGTTTCGGCTTAGAGAGATGGTGAATGTGAAGGCTGAATCTGCGAAGTGGGTTTGAGATTGAGAGAGGAGATGAGAGCGACGAAGCCGCCATTCGCGGAATGCTCTGTAATGTGTAACGTCATCTACTTTTTTCGACGAGTTGTGAAGGAGACACGTGGCGTTGGCTGGTGAAGTGCGACGTGGCGGATGTGTAGCCTTTTGTCTGGATCTGGTGGAGTTGCGTCGTTCAGTGAAAAAAGCAGAGAACTGAAGAACATTGAAAATTTTAATTAGATGATAGACGACGATGGTCACGTGCATCTAAAAATATCACGTGGTATTATTATTTAAACTTCTGTTGGGCTGAGATCTGGAGAAGTAGATGGGCTTCGTTGTTTAAGACCCATTGAGAAAATACAAACGATGAAAATACAAACATAATAGTCTCACTTATGAAAAAATAGAGTTTTCTTTTTACAAAGTATGATATTTTTTGAAAAAAAGTAATAGAAGTACTCTAGTATCCAAATTTTTAATGAAAATGGAGAGTACTTTTTGACAATCTTCAAAATCAAAGCATTTTTTCTGGTATTTTGTTACTGAGAAATGACAATAGTATATTTTCATCATCTAGTTTAAAGTGAATAAGGATTACTGAAAACGTAATTTGATGCAATCAGTAGTAATAGTGTAGCAATATTCTTCCACTCGAATCGTAAGGATGAGTGGATGGATGACATGCCCGAATTAATGTAATGCGAAACTTAATTACATAATCCTTTATCCAACACATTTAGTAATTTTACAACTCATTTTCAACTACATAATTTTATTATATGATTATATCTTATGGTTGTATTTTAAATTTGTATAAAACAATAGGAAAAAATCATATAAAAACCTTTAAAATGACTTGTAGCACTTTAAACCTCCAAACTATTTAAGTAACAATACAAACCTTGAAAGTTAAGGGATAATACTATAAGATTATAAAGACATGTTATTAAAATTGTACTCGTCGAGGAAAAATTAATCTAGTGTAACTTAAATTTGTACTAGCCAATGACGTATATATAAGATTATTGCGTACGTGCACTAATACAGTCAGCGATTGGCTATGCTAGAATACTAGCTAGCTATTTGTATATGTTAGACAAGTGAATGTTCTTAATTTTGCCTAATGTGTCGAATAATAAGTTTTCTTTTTAAGAGATAACTTAATTAGAGATTCGCCTACCATTATGCGTGATTCTCTTACATTTGCGATTCGTCATTTTGTAGCCCCACCATTAGGGTTATGTCTATGGTTATTTTATTTCTGATTTGTCGCTTAAAAGGTTACTGAGTGAATTGGATGACAATGTTTAATCGAAAAAAAGGTTTGCTTATAATTGTTAGAATCGGAAAGGATGCTAAAGTAACATTAACCGTCGGATTTAAGATAGAAAAATGATTGTATGCATAATGACACGACATTATGGAATAATACATTATTAAAAATTTAAAACAATGAATCGTATCATTTTTTTTTTGTTCAACCTAGTTAACATGTTATTTCATCAATTTACACCAAAAATAATATAATTACTACACTACAAAAAAAGTTAATATTATTATAAAAAAATTATAACTAATTATTTTGTCATAATATTATAACAATTTATATACAAATTCGTGACAATATTAATTTGTTATAAAAACGTTATTAATTCGTCATAATATTATGACTAAATCAAAGGTAACAAATTATTGTTATTAATTGTGTCGTAATCATTATAAAATATATAGTAACAAATATTATTACGGATATTATGACCAAATTTAGTAACTAAACTATATAATTTTGTGACTAAATTTGAGTCACTCACACTTACAAAAGTTTTGTAAGTATGTTATCATAAGTAGACATTTTTTTACTAACCTATGCATTTGATCATAAATTATGACATAATTATTACTATTTTATGACAAAGATTAAAACCACATGTAAATCAAAATTCAAACTTTTAACCAAAATTCAAACCCTTAATCCTAAATGTAAAACATATATGTACACCAAAATTCAAATCCTTAACCAAATTTAAACTCTAGACCCTAAATGTAAAACACATATATACACCAAAATTTAAACCCTTAACCAAAATTCAAACCCTTAACCTAATTCAAACCTTTAACCAAAATATAAAACACATATATACACCAAAATTCAAAATTTTTAACCCTAAATGTAAAAGACATATGTATACCAAAATTCAAACTCTTAACCAAAATTCAAACCCTTAACCAAAATTCAAACCCTTAACCAAATTCAAACTCTATACCCTACATGTAAAACACATATATACACCAAAATTCAAACCCTAAACCAAAAGTCAAACCCTATACCCTAAATGTAAAAAACATATGTACACCAAAATTCAAATCCTTAACCAAAATTCAAACCCTTAACCAAATTTAAACCATATACCTTAAATATAAAACACATATTTATAACAAAATTCAAACCTTTAACCAAAAACTTCAAACCCTAAATTCTAAGATCAAACCCTAAATCCAAAATACAAATCATGTATCATAAACTCAAACTATAATCTATAAACCACTTCAAACTCTTATACCCTACAACACTTATAAAAATCGTACATTTTTGTTTTTGCCAATATTTTGCATATCTTTGTCCAAATTTTCTATACAATCAACATATTCTTCAACATTTATAACAAACTTCAAAATTCCAAAAATAAATTATATTTTAAAATTTAAATTCTAAACCCTAAACATAATTAATCAATATAGATCTCCAAAATTCAAATCCACATTTATAATAAACCTAATATTTTTTTAAATATCAAATCTAAAATCTCAAATTGTAAATCTTAAATGCTAAATAATGAACTCAACACTTCAACTTTACATTTAAACATAAAAAACTAAATCTAAAATTATAAAACCAAATATTACAATTTACTAATGAAATTAATTATAAATGAGATATATTATCAAATGACTTATTTGCTTACATAATATTTAAGATCATATATATATATATGTTTTAGAAACATAATATTATACTTTTAAAATGCAAATAAGAAAGATAAATTCTCATTGGTTAATTGATAGTTGTGAGGATTAGACCTTACTTTTAATCTCAACCCTTGATAAAACTAAATCTAACTCATACAAATCATTCTTTTTTTTTTTCTCTTTCTTCCTTATTTTCTTTGACGGAAAATTAATCATGGTCATCTCCTTCTGCGCTCCATCTCATATCTCATCTTCTCCTTCCTTTGCTTCTGCTTCTCCTTGTCCCCTCCTTCCTCTTCCTCTTCCTCTTCCTACTCTTCTTCTGCAGTTCGCGCCTGATGCATCTCCTTAAAACCGCCATCGATCCATCTTTCTAGGTTTCCTCTAACCGCCGTCGATCCACTGTAAGTATTTTCTTCTCCTTATTCTCCTCTTCATCTCCATCCTTCTCTTCTTCTCCACCTTATTTTCTTCGGATCTAACTTTATTTTTTCTGATCTTGTAACGTGGATGGAGGACGGATGCGAGGCGTGGAGCAGCGGTGGAGGACTCGTCTTGTTCATGACCAGTTATGTACCTGTTTTGAGGGCGGCAGGGTCAATCTAGGAGGAATTCAAGCTAGAGAGTAGCCGTCAAAGCTTCCTTTGCCAGGATCCGTCGTCTCCGAAGTCCGCCGCCGATGAAGCTGTACCAAGCATTCGTTGTCTCCGAAGTTCAAGCCAGAGAGTTATCAGATAGGAGCTTGCGTGTGGTGGGAAGTCAGCGCTGGAGGATGATAGATTAGGTTAATTTCTTTTGGTATTATTCCCGGTTAAACCGGTTGGTTTGATCTGATTTCAATTTTGTAAATTTTATTTCTTTCCCGGTTTGGGTATTTAATATAATAATATTTAAAAAATGTCAATTGCTTTTATTGATTTAGGTGTGGGTATTGGATGGTTGATTTTAAGAGAATACAAAAGAATTAGAAAATAATGTATTTTGAAGTAATTTAAAGTTTTTGTTGATAATTTAAACAAATTCTATCAAAATGACAGCAAAAATGATGAGAATTGGTTCTTTATTAAATTTCATTGAAATTCTATTAAATTCCTTTAAAATGACAATAGCATATGAAGAAAACTAAAATTGAATAACACTAAAAATTAATGGAATTAGAAAATCATTAAATTGAATAACACTAGAATTTAAAGTAATTTAGAAGAATGACTTCAAATATTGAATCCAATAACACATGAATTTAAAAAAATTTGTGAAATACAACATTGAATAACACTAGAATTTAATAGAAAGCTTAATTCCTTCTAATTCAATTGAATTCTTTAATTGAATACCTCCCCCTTAATTGTGTATTGTTTGTTTTTTTAACAAAATATTTATTTTATATAATAAAATAGTTTCATCTATTTATTTTGTTTTTGTTTTCAAAATCACGATATAATCATTACAAATGTCATGCTTAATAATTAGCAAATTTTGTGATATTATTGTTTATTATAATTTATAACGGATTAGTGACAATAAATATAGTAAGAATTTGTTACAAATATGTGATAATTTTTTTGCCATAACTTGTGATCTAATTGTGATAGTTTTTTTTGTCATAAACTGTAACGTTTTTGTGACTGGTTTAATATCGTTATAAATGGTGACAAATCGTTACTATTGTCGATCGTCACACCATGTTATGACGTTTTTCTGACTAAAATAGATTTGTGACGTTTTTATTGTGATCTTTAATAATTTGTAACATTATCGTTACAATATAATTTTTATGACAGAAAAATTATATATTGTGACAAAAAAATTGTAACAATATTTACTTTTTTTTAGTGCTAGTTGTAGTTATAAACGAGTTTTGTTTGTCACGTTCAAAAGAATACTTGTTTGTCGTGATGTAATAGCTCATCCCCTCACTTACGGCCTATAAAACAGTTCCACACACAACTCCCTTCTCTCAAAAAACACCAAAAGCATCTTGCTATCTCTCTCTCTCGCTCTCTGAAGAAAATCATGTCAGGCGTGTGGGTGTTCAAGAACGGAGTGATAAGGCTTGTGGAGAGCCCTAACCAGTCAGGAGCTGACACTAGTCATAGCCGAAGGAAAGTGATGGTCTATTTACCGACAGGAGAAGTGGTCTCATCTTACTCGTCCCTCGAGCAGATCCTCCGGAGTCTTGGGTGGGAGAGGTACTTTGGCGGCGATACGGATCTCCTTCAATTCCACAAACGCTCCTCCATTGATCTCATTTCTCTCCCTAGAGATTTCGCAAAATTCAACTCCGTCTACATGTACGATATCGTTGTCAAGAACCCTAATTACTTCCACGTCCGAGATTCCAATTGAATCTTTTTTGTTTCTCTCCTTTTGTGTTTGTGTGTGTGTGTTGTTTAATAATTTAGTGTTTTTTGGGGTTTCTGTTTTTAGTTGCATGTGCATGTTTTTTTAAAAAAAATGTGCATGTGTTTTTTGTGGTGGACGTTGAAAGTTGTGTAACAGTGTATGTAATTGTGGTTTGATGGAAATTGAGATTAAGAAGAGTGTTGGATTCAATTATAAGTGGTTTCATTTCATTAACTGTTATCTTCCGTTGCATGATTCGATTCGGTGATGACCGGTTGTATCAGTCACACCATATTGATGGAAATATTTCGATGATCGGTTGTACCGTACTGGAACTTACAATTACAAACGCTATATCATTTTATTTTCGTACCCCTTATCTTGATGCCATTAATTTATGATACCTCAAGTGTACATATATATAGGTTATATATATATATATATCGATGGAATATTTGGGGACCACATGAGGCTTGATGAAATTGTTCTTGCTAATGTATTTTGATTCCTTGGTTCTTAGGAAAGGTAATGGACTCCTGCTCTTTAATTTTGTCCTTGTAATTGGTGTCCGAATATATAATTTTACCATTCCAAAATAAGATAAGCATAACAAAACTGAATACATACAATATTTATACATACCGCTACGCTATTATATGTTTTAAAATTTAAGTGTAAGAAAGAAACGCATAAGATCTAATTGGCTTTCGTGCTAGAGGGTCGAAAAGACATTACGTAAAAAACTTTTTCAGGCAATTGGTTGTGTCAGTCTCTCAGTAACACTAGCGAGCAGCTACACATTATATGGAAAAAATCATACTAGTAAGCGAAAAAATGATGAAACATCATTGGAAGGAAATTCAATATTCTAAAAATTTGAAAGAGCTTTTCGTAATTATGTATCCGAATGAGATTTTTTGTTGGAATACATTGACAAAGAAATATCAATAGTATGTCATGCTTCGTATCCCTACAATCATAACATCATGACTTTGTACCCAAAGGAAAAAAAGAGTGATGGTAATTGAAACAATGCATGGAGATGCATGTAAGGACGATACCCCTCTATTCGTTGAACAACCTATACTTCTATATGATTTGCAGTCACATCGTTGACGAGACTAGCTCAAAAACATCCACATAAACGTAAGCAATAGACCAGAGTGGTTCACGTGAACAAAGCACTCGGCGAACCAACGGGAATCCGAAACGTGTCTAAAGGGACATTGCTTTGAGACTTTCCAGTTCCCACTCTCGAGGAGCACTGCTCACGTGCCTGAGCTTTATTATCGACACACACAATCCCAATAGTCTATATAGGAGTGTATGTCTATGAAAAGCATTCGTACACTGTAGAGGGAAAATTTTCAACGGCATTTATTGATGAAGGACATAGATTTGTGGAAGATTCTGATGAGTTGTCGACGTGGCATGTCGTAGGCCATAAGAAACTAGGGCTAAGCTTTGAGAAACTAGTTTAGGAGACATCACATCTTGTTCTGCCTACATAATTATAAGGGTACAACATGTACTGATAAACGATTGGACATTTCATTACTTATAAACATTATTCGATTAACTCTTATTTCATATTATATACATTTTACATCCGTTATCAAAGTATCAATACTGGTACCTTTGACTCTTAATAGCTTGTCTACTACACTCATACCTATCTATGTTTTGATTGAGCAAAAAATTATGTAATGATATTTTTTGGTTATTTAATGGAATGTGTAATTTTAGAGGGTGTATATTTTAATCATCGATTTAAATTTATTTCTCTAGGTTTTGTAGTTTGTAAGATTTAAAAAGTTTGATTCTCTATATATATATAAAAAGAAAATCATATGTAAATGTATGGATTCTAAAATCTCTGAAATGAGTCTATTGTATCGTATTGCCAACATCACACTACCTAAATTTAGAATGTTTTAGAAGGCCCAATAAATCTGTTTACATTTTGAAGTTGAACGGGGCCCAATAAGGCGCACTCTGCAGTCCAAGGTGAGAAAATATGCTTGGTGTGCAGAAATTAGGATTGAAAACCGGCAGAAAGGATGGATTTTAGGAATATCACTCTTTTGAGCAGACAATGTAAACATTGAGTTGAGTTTTCTGTTAAAACATTTTCATTTGTTTTCAATTATTATATGATCCTAAGCAACCAACTTCTGGTGAAATGGTTAAACGGTTGAAGAGTGCAATAACAATACATACAGAGTTAAACAATTGGTTTGATTTTTCAAACTGATATTTTTAAATCTTTATAAAGGTGAAAGAATGATGAATTCGTCCACCTGATCTTATTTTCCATTAGTTACCAATTGTGTATAAGTAAAAAAAGAAAAAAGAAAAAGTAAAACCTTTCTATATACAAAGAAAGAGAGCAAGATGGTGGAAGAAGAGACGAGTACTTTGGTGTCTCTGTATTTTCCACATCTTCACGAAAATGGCTGTGGCTGAGATTCTGCAGAGGATTTACAGATAGGACACCAATTCTTCATCCGAAGCCATTGTTGCCCACAGCTCACATGGTACATATGTTGGCAAGGCAAAGTCCCTACTTCATCTCCATCAACATACTCTTCCTACATATTTAACACAAACCCTTCTTTTTGAGTTTTTTTTTTCTTTCTCTAAATACCTTCAAGCAACCATTAAAAGCGAGACTTAGATAACAGATTATTAATCATACCTGGCAAATACTGCATTTGACATCATCATCTCTGTTCAGGCTAATGCCACCAGATTCATCTGTTTGACGGTAAATGCTTGACTTCAAGCTTTTCAACAGCGCTTCCTCGCTCAGAGCAGTGCTCACTGTTCCCATTTTCTCCTCCAAGGCTAATAGTTCCTGCAAAAAATTTCAACTTTCAATACCCAATAACTTGAATGCTGCCTTTCACCGTCAGCTAAAGTAAAAGACTAACCTCATACGACATGTTATCAATGTCAAGCCTCATATCTCTATGCTGGTCGTGGAAACTGCTCACACCATTCAAGAACAGGTTGGTCTCTAAAGCAACCAATTGCTACAAGAGAAGAAAAAGAAAAGAAGCAGAAGAAGCGTCAAGTTAAGTTCAGGCATAGCTTCTTCATGACAAAAGGTTTCAAACTGCAAAAATCACCTCGTATGTAAGCTCTTCGTCTTGTTCAATCCTTTCTAGAGCCAATAATACCTGCGACATGGTGAGAAAAGTATATGAATGGTGTTATCAAGAAAAAACCACATTCATATAGCAAGGGTTATGATGATGACTACCTCTGCAACTCCGTTCAGGTTATAACGTCTGAAACCATCACGGTTCGTCAAAGAGCGAGCAAGGCCTGCTTCTGAGGAGCCACCATGGATCATCAGGCTACGTAACCTGTCGTTACTACTGATTGGCCTATTGTAACTACTTGAAGGACTATGCGAAACTTCTGCTGATCTAGAAGAGTTTAGATCAGCTCGTGTTGCAGTCTGAGGCGCTTGTAAAGTTGTAACCGCACCAGAAGACCGCCCTGTTCTACCGTAATAACCAGTTGATCTCCTAACACTACTCGAAACAGCACTGTTGTCCCTAACACTTGGCAGATTTCTGCTCCTCCTAGACTCAGTCATGGTGATGCCGCCACTGTCGTGAGGGGAGCTTTGATTCTTTACCTCGACCGCTGATCTATCCGTCTTGTTCCCTCTGCTTGAAGAGCTGCTCTCTCCATCAGAGGTTTTCTTTCTACACATGTTGCTTTTTCTTGTCGGGTTCGAAATGGAAGGAAGAACATGATCACCAGACTCAGATTTGATCCTCAAGTCTCTCAATCCATTCCTGTTCACACTAGCTCTTACGTTTTGCACACTGTTACTCGTACGAGTGACCAAATCAGGCCTCTGATGTATGCTTCTGACGACACCTCTGGTTGAGCTTCCTGCCTCTGCCACAGCTTCTCTAGAGACACTACTTTCACGTGGAAGGGCACGCTCAGACTTGGCACTGCTACTCTCTGAAGAATCTGTGTCCAAAAGAGAAGAGAGTTGTCTCCTACAGCTAACTCTAGAGGCCTTTCTCGCGCCACCAAATCCAACCGTACTCCGAGATGAACTCGCAAAGGTTTCCTTCCCGTTTAAAGGAAATCGAAGCGAAGACACGGGAGATGATTTTGCTTTGTGATCAATCGGAGACCCATTGGTAGAACTTAACCGGGAACTGCAACCGACTCGGCTGCAGAGAGGCACACTCTTATCGTCTTTCTTCTTCATATTCTCATGCAGGACAAGACCACTTGTTTTTCGGGACATAGTTGGTCCGGATGGTCTTTTACCTTTAAATCCATCCATGCATAAAAGATGATACCTTTACTCTGCAATGGAAACCAGATTCTTTCAGATTATCTATCTATAATAAGACTATAACTCCATCAGGCCTAAAGGAGGTAATTACAAATAAATTTTAAAGCTTTCAACAGATTCATCAAAGCCTAACAAATCGCTAGTCAAAGGAGAACAGAGAACCATAACAAAGAAAGAAAAAGAAAAAAGCTTACGAGAAGAACGTATAACTTGATGAACCGTAATCTTTAGGCTTCGTAGCTAATTTAGTGATTGTTAAAGAAACCAAAAGAGAAGACGACCTTCGAAGACCAAAATAAAAAAAAGAAGAAGAAGAAGGAGAAGGGTCCCATTCGATTTACACGGACTTTCCATAAACACGACGAGTTTCCCCCCGTGATTCAAGCTTCTCCATGGAAAAAAAAACAAAGGCATACCAAACTCTTAACCAAAGAAGCACATATTAAGACAATTCTACCAACCGAATTTAAGAATCATAACCACAGGGACTAGTTCAAGCCAAAGGAAGAAAAAAAACAAGTAAATTTGAAATCTAAGCCAATCAAATAAATTTTCGTTGAATTTTAAACGTAACCATTCGGTGAACTGGAATAGAAATTTGGTGTATAATTAAAATTTTGAATCCAGAGTAAACATCAACGAGAAAAAAAGAAAAAAGATCTATGGGGTTTATTTTTTCTCTCGTGATTACCGTAGCGAAAGAGCGAAATCAGGGGCGGGAGAGAAAACGAAAACTCTGGCAATAACTTTTTTTCCGACGGATATCTCTTCGCCGAGGAAACGTGTAGTGAGAGAGATGCGAAGGCGTAATCTTTTGAATCCGTAATTGTAAAACTTTTTTGTGATTAAAATCGGAGAAGATGAAGAGTGGCGTAGCCAAGGCGAAACAGCGGTCGGAGTGATTAGACCCGTTGATTTTGGGTTCTGTTGAGTGATGCCTGAGATGGACGGCTTAGATATAATACAGTCACAGAACCTTGAGATATACCAAAACGGTACCGTTGCTAATTAGCGTCTCGTGGACGGAATTTTTATATATTTAATTTTAAGGAATTTCTCCTCTTTTTTTTGTTTCTTTCTAACATCAATCAAAAAAAAAAAAAAAGTAAAAAGGGTGTTTGGGAAACATAGGATTAATATAAATAAAGGGTTGTGGAAAAAATTTCATCCTTTTTTTTTCACGTGAGAGGATGGATTTAGAAAAAAATATTGTTATTCCAAACGTCCTTTTACGACGACAGTAAATTTCATAAATTATTGTTGAGATGATAATAATTAATAACATAATTTCGATTTGGTGTCGACATTGGAAGAAGTCGTGTCTGATATAGTATAAAGAAAAATAACTATTAAAGGAAAGACGACGTGAGAAGAAGCAAATGAGAGATCCACATCCATAATAGAAACGAAAACACTATAATAAAAACTTCGAAAGAGAACATAAATAATATTTGAAGACATGAAAAAAGTCATTGGTTTGTTTTTATTAAATAAATATTTTTAATCGAGCTTTTCATAAGAAAAGGAATAATAATGGAAGAGGGAGAAAGCCCAAGTCGAAGCCGGAGCATAATGGGCCCACCGATTCTGGAAATCGGGAAATTAGGGGGAGCGTGAAGAGGACGCGCCACCACGGCCAAATGTGGGAGGGCTTATTATGCTTATCTGTAAAATGTCAACTTGAAGAAACAAAGTTTTTGGAATCATCCTGAAGCTGCTTTTCTACGCCAAACGTCTTTTTCTCACTGTATGTGTTGCGTATAAATATATTTTTTATATATACAAATCCCTTGTTATCCCGTACCTAACAGGCGAACACCGAGAAGCATGCAAGCAACACGTATATTAATAATTAGTGTTAAGATATTAACCATACAAAATTAATATTATACCAAAGTTTTTTTTTATGAACATATTATACCAAATAATTGCCATAACACCATGCATGCATGGTTGCGCGACAGACAATATTTGTTGGATTTTGTATAAAGATACGAATAGTCCTCTGGGTCATTATTTATGCGTCTACAAGCCTATGCCACATTTTCGACACAAATTAAACAAAAAAATGCATGTGAAGAAATGCATTCCACGAACTCTATCGATGTAATTAATTAAATAATCTTATGAATATGTTGCTTTGAATACATTTTCGACTGTTTTTATATATATGTTAATTGGGTTACGAACCATAGTATATATATTAAATAATCGCATTTTTTTTAGATCTATTCAAGTGATAACACAACATTTTCTTGTTTATTCTTTTCATTAGATTATGCAATATGTGGATTTGAATGCCGATAATTTCATAAATGCGAAACTATCACAATCCCCTATGCAATCGCTAAATCATTAAATTCGAAGAACAGCATCAGAGTTTTGTAGTTCGTACTCGTAGCCACGGATTTTTAGTTGGCCTTAGCCTTTGTGTTTCGAGTTACGCCCATATATAGCCTCATTGTACAATAGTTTTTCCATACAAGGTAGTGTTATTTTTAGTACTAGACTTACATTTGCATAAAGGAATTCTGATCAAGAACCAAAAAAAAAGCATAAAAGAAGGAGTGGTCAATGTGGCAACAGAAGCACATTTTGGCCTGAGATTTAACATAGAATATTTTCATTTTTGTCAACTTTATATTCTTTAATTTTAATGATTGAGAAGAAGAGAGTGAATGAGCAAGGAAATGGGATGAGTGGATGACATGTAGATTGATGCTGCCTGCTGGAAGCGTTCAACGTTGGGCTCCATGGGAGTTGAGCAGGCCCATTTTCTCTTTCTTTTTATATTTTATTTGTTTTAAATTAGTTTTTATTCCTATTTCTAGTCTGATTTGGTTTGTAGTAAATCATACGAGTCGTAACTATGTGGTGTTATTTTATCATGTTAATGACGTGGGGACAATTATCTTACTGATATTGAAACGGTCCAAAAACTAAAAAGAAAGGAGAGACAAAGAAACAAAAGACAGTTTGTGTGTCCTTTGTATAAATAGAAACGGCTCAAACTAAAGTCAACGGTTTTCCATAACGACCGGAATCGTTTTATAATGTTAATTTAGTTTTTGATTTTAATTTGTTATTGAACTTAGGAGATTGATGGCCTCCACCACCATCACCACCCAAGAAGTTGCCGTGATTTAAGCTTTGTTTTACAAGCACACAAGTAATCAAATCTCATTTTATAGAAACCCTAATTTCTTTCCAAGGAGATTGGTTTCCTTGATATACAAGTTTCTCGTTCTTTTCCTTATTTTTCTTTATTTGTTCTTGTTCCATTTGATCCACGTTTCTGGAGGTCATGGCAACGACATCAGGCACAACGAAAGCAAAACCGGACAGCCAAAACCTAACCAGAACAAGATCTCTCGGTCGAAAACCAAAGCTACCTTCGTCGGTGTCATCAGAAGATGGATCTGATCAGAAACCGGAGAAGCCTTTGCCAAACTATCTGAAACCAACGATTAGTTCGAGACCTGATCCAGTCAAGCCCTTGAAGAAGAACAACAACAATCTCGATGATAATCAGAAGCTTCTCCGTAGAAGATCGTTTGATCGACCTCATTCTTCTTTGACTTCTCCTTCTACCTCTTCTTCGCGTATCCAAAAATCCCTCAACGCATCTTCTTCTCGCCCACAAGACAGACCCGCGGTGCCTAGAGAGAAGCCTGCGACAGCTCTCCGCTCTTCGTCATTTCACGGAAGCAGAGGTGTTCCAAGAGGAGGTACTACTGTGAAAGCGCCTCCTGTGGCTCCAAAGAAGAGCGGGTTGAGTAGTAGTGGCGCTTCTTCGAAGAGCAAAAATGAAGGTTCTGAAAATGTTACAGCAAAGAAAGCCTCTGAGAAAGAGATAATTTTAGATACTGCTTCTCTGTCGTCTGCTCAAGAGGATGAAGAGAAGATCCTCCAGGTTGAGAGTGATGTACAAGTTGCTGACGATATAGAAGAACCCAAAGTTGAGAAGAAAAACAAAGAGGTGCAAGTAGAGGTTGTGCATGCCGATGAATCCGGTGAAGAGAATGAGAGTGGTGAGCCAACATTGGTTGCTTCCCCTGTTGGGGAAGACATTTCTGTTGCCAGAGAAGAAGAAAAAGAAGAAGAAAAAGAAAGATTGATCAATGAAGATAAAACAGAGGAGAATATAGTGGAAACGAAAGAACAAGAGAATAACCACGAGAACAAGGGTGAACTCGAGGAAGAGGTTAACAAGAAGATTGATGAAGATGAGATTTCGGAGAAGGTTGATATCGACATGATTGCGAAAGAAGTTGAAAATGTCGAAGAGGCTATGGAAGAAAAAGAAGAAGAAAAGGAAGTGAGCGAACATGAGAAGGAAAAGGTTAAGGAAGAGGAAAAGGAGAAAGTTAAAGAAGAAGAGTCAGGAGAGGGAAAGAAGAGGGAAGTAGTGAAAGGTAAGAAGGAATCTTCATCAGCCTACAACGATGTAATAGCAAGTAAGATGCAAGAGAACCCGAGGAAGAACAAAGTTTTGGCTCTCGCTGGAGCTTTTCAAACCGTTATTGACTATGAAACTGCTGCATCTAAGTGATATATATATCACACAGAGACACAAAACAACAACAACTTCGACAATGTCATCTTTAGTTTGTAATTCCATGTTAATTTTCCTTTCAGTATAATTATCATTTGTCATTGTTATAATTTTTGTCTCGTGGATTGTATGTTTTTCGAGTGGACAAAATTGCACGCACCTAATCATATGTTTGAATGAATTGGATACATTGGTGTATATATATATTCAATGATTTGAAGACTATCCAGCTGCTTTTAACTCCAAGAGATTGTTTCTATATGAAGGAAAACCTAATGGTATAGAGGAAAGAAGTAGATAGAAGTATATAATTTAATAGTTGAAAAAAAAAGAGAGGATAATTGACACTCCTATTTGATAGTTTGCATCAAGTAAAGAAGCTGTTGCGGTTCAGAAATATCCCACGTGGAAGAATGGTCATCATATAGTGGCCTCGTGTGGGCTCATGGTTTACTCATTAATGTAACGTGGTTTTAACGGATCAGCATCAGAGGAGTCAATGTCATTTTAAGCTTTGAAAATTAGTTTGTGTAACTTTGGCTCGATTATATTAGTTTGTGCACAAATTTATACAAAATGGTCGTTCATATACGCATCAACAGTTGGTCAATGTCTTTGTTGTATAATTCAGTGTAATCAATATGGAAAATACTTCAAAGTTTCTCATCTTGTTTAGAAGAATCAATACATGTTTCTCTCCTTTTTTATTTTTATTTTCGTATTTCTACTGATTAGAATTCGTTATTAGCTCATATGTTTTAGTCATATCAAATATTGTTCAACACGATCTATCTTTGCATTTGGTCTAGTCACTTTTTTTCTTTTTGGTCAATAACATATATCATGCAGATTTGAAACTGGATGATAATAACACTAACAATAACTATGATACATGTCATGGTTAAATTAATATAATCACCATAAAATTTGTTTCCCAAGTTCAAAGTAACTTTGGAAAATATAAATGGAAACCCTTCTTTTATTGTTGAATATTGGGTATTTTGTTAGGATTAACCTAATAGTAATAGATAATATCATTAGATGGTACTCTCAACCTATTAGTTTAGTTTATTTTACCAAGATCAATATGTATGACTCATAAGGATACAAGTGTTTGGTGCGTTTCCAATGCGGGAGTTTGTCCCACGCACATGAGAGTTCCTATCAACTTTGACATTTTATTGTAACAAAACAAACACAAATGGCAGGACACACATTTAGTGAAATTGAGTGACACGTGTTCGTTTAAGTCCATAGCCTCTTCTTTAATTCTTTTTTAGGTTTTTTTCTCAACAGTTGTCGGGAAGAGAAGAGATTAAATAAGCAATCGCTGTTGTGACAGAAAAACAAAAAAAAAAGAAGAGGCTGCACGTCTTTTTCCTGCAACACTTGCAATTTTATTTTTCTAAATTAGAATTAAGAGTTCTGATTATTTCTCATTTCATTTCCTTACTTTCAAGATAATGTTTTTGACGGATCCACATTCTATAAAGAACCCTTTCTTGTACGTATGATTATATTTGAGATTTTTAGATCTGATAACACTGAAAGAATAATATTTTTCCTTAAAAAACATTTGAAAGAACTTGAAAGTGTCGAAGAGACTACGGAAGTGAAAGAAGAAGTGACGGATAGTCGACCGTTGGTTGTTCGTGTCTTTCACTCGAAAGATTAATTGTTTTGGGACTATATTTTTTTCCGAATTCATGATAAAATGTATTACACGCACCATTGTTAATATAAGACAATCGTATCATTTTCTGTGATTCTACTACGGTTGGGATTATAACTTTAGCACTGCAACGACGAATCCATTTTAATCTGACGATCTATCTATTAACCTTTATTTTATTTTTGCAAATGTTGGTTACTTGGTTTCCATTTTTTATGATATTTTTCTTGTTTTGTGATTCAAAGAGTTTAAGTATGCCTATCTAATTATCCTTAAGGACCCTAAGTCTGGTTTTTTTTTAAAATTTATTTATGACATAGGAAATGAATTAATATAGATTCACCATTTTTAGTCTTTGGGATATTATACCCTCCACATATATGCTCATTATTCTACAAAATATCCAAAAATATTGACTTGACCTTTCTAGAAAAATAAAAATAGAAATAGAGAGAGAATCGATAATGTGGAGATGGAAAAAGGACAAGAAACAGATAAGCTAATAGAAAGGAACAAACACTAACGTAGTTGATTACTTTTCTCCCGTCGACATAATACATAATTAATTTCCCGAATTAAAAAAAAGAAACATTAATTCGCGCGACGAAAATAAAAATTATATTTTAAGAAAAGGAAGATAGAAAGAAAAGAAAAAAAAAAGTATGAACAAAGAAAAATCATGATTTGCGCATTATTGATCATCTTCTTCCTGCAGATCTGAGAGTGCAAAACAACTCCGAGACTTGAAGGCTCTGTTCTTGAACGACGGTCTCCTCGCAACAACTCCTCTCGTTCCTCGCTCATCGTCGCTCGATGTTGATTTGTTCTCGTCGAACCCAGATTTCAGATCTTCATCGTCTTCGTCTTCCTCGTCGTCATCCTCATCTTCGTTTACTGGTAACAGAGGCATAGATTTAGGGTTTTGCCACGAGTAGAACGATCTTCTTGCCAGTTTGTTGCAGATCTGTAACCTTCTTCTCTTATTCAATGGATTCTCTTGCTTCGGCACTTCTTTTACACTCCCGATCTCCCCTAAATTCCCAAACGATTTTGATTTTCCTTTGTAGTGATTCGATAACCCTCTTCTGAAATTAAATATCAAGAACCCTAATTAATCATCCCCTGTTTCTTTTTTAACCAAGATGCCGTTTTTAGTAAGAAATGAAACTTACTTGCTGGGGAGAGAATCTTCGAGAGAGCTCATTGAAGCTAATCCTCGAAGCCCTAGCTCTTTAGATGAAACGTCGTCGTCTTCTTCCCCGCTTTCTTCGTCCTCGCTGTCTCCGGGCGTTCCGATCGATGATGAACTTTCCGACGAGTAATCCGCCGTCTGCCCTGACCAGATTCCGCTTCCGGGTCGACTCAAACCGCCTCCATCCTCGTTCAACGTTTCACCGGAGGAGGAGGAGGAGGAAGCCTTCTCCGTCGCCGGTAGATCGCTTCCGTATTCCGAGACCTCGATGGAGAACGTAGGACCTGCCATCACCTCCATTCACCGTAACTCCGGATCAGAAACCAGTAGCTTCTTACCGATTTGATTCGGAAATCACGGTTTGGAAATCTTCACTTCTGGGTTTCTGTCTCATCAACTTCTGTGTCCGATCCTCAAATCACAGACTCAGAAAATAGTAGCAATCGCCATGGCAGAAGAGAGAGAGAGAGAGAGAAGGGATAAGGTTTTTTATTTATTTTAAAAATTTAAATGAAGGAAGACGATAAGGACGATAACTTGGATAAAATATATATCCTATTGGAAGGTTATTAAATTATATTATATGCGTAAGGGGTATCCGTGATTTCGGACATCAACAAGTGTTAATTTAACGCCTCTTCCAGTCCTTGCTTCTGATCTCTGTACTTTAGTATTTTTAAAACTTTTGAAATCTTGTTTTTTAACAAGAAAAAAAAAAGATTGGAGAATTCATAATTTTATTGGACAAACCCAAAAGGAAAGAAGTATATCTTGGGCTTGTAATAATGTTAAATTTAACGCAACTGAACTAATTTACTTGACAAAGTTAGTATTATATAACCGAGATGTGTCTTATCATATTATTCGGTCGTATATTCTCTTTTGTGGAGTATATATATTTGTAAGTAAATAAGATTACAGGTAGGATTTTATTACTAATCTATCATTGCCATATTTATTTGTAAGTAAATAAGATTATAGGTAGGATTTTATTAATAATCTACCATTGCCATATTTACTTATACTTATAGTTAACAATCTACCATATTACATTTCATTACAATGCCATATTTCATTATAAGTATAAACTTATACTTATGGACCTAAGTGTGCGTTTGATGCATTTTCATGCGTCCATTGCATGAGTTAGACTGACATATTATGAAGCAAATTTGTGTAGAGAGTGTATACTGTATAGTCTTAGTAAGTTGCATATTATGTTACGGGATTTTGGTTGCTGTAGTTATGATGTATTATGTCCAAACTGACCGATTGGTGACCGGTTTGTCCATAAGGTGACAACTGATACCAGCTAAATTGAAAACTGGTTCGGAAATTGATCGACTTAATATACAATTTTAAAACGAAGACTTTGGAATAGTCTTCCTAATTTTCATGTTACTAAATGGAGGATACATTTGGAATAGAGATCACGATTGTTGCCAGGACCTTTTTCTTTCTTTTCTCGGTTTACAATGTCAATTCTTTTGTTGCAATTTCTAAAAATCTGTTTTTGACATTACTGTATTATTATAAATCTTACTTGCAATTTTCTTACTTCAAACAATATACTCTTGCTTACAACAAAAGATTTAGAATCTTTTTTATTTATAAATGTCAAAATCTATACTTTTTTTTTTTTTTATCGAATGTCAAAATATATACTTAACACTGACCCTACACAAGTTTACATCTATTTATGGTATAATGCCAATATGAGGCATCACCAGTTTCTTGCCAAAAGATTTAACAAAAAAAAATGAAATGTATACAAGTAGATAGATCAGTAGAAAGGTTGATTAACAAATGATGGTTAATTAAAAGGATATTTAGATGAAGAAGAAAAAAACGTGGTTAATATTAGTTTAAAAGTCACAACTAAAGGTCAAAGCAGGAGGACCAACGGGATGAGGTCGAGGTCTAGCTAAATCTTATCTCTTTCTTTCTTAATTTTCTTAGCATTTGCTCTTCTCGGTGGCAGAGAATAACCATCAGATGTCCACACCCCTCTCTCCTTTAACCATCGTTTAATTTTTAATACTATAGAACTTTTAATTTTGGGAATCAAATGTTTTTTTTTTTTTTTTGATTATTAATTAAAGAAAAAGAGATGGTGTATTGGTTTGGTTGGCTAAACTTTATAAAAAAGGTTAATTATCATGCTTCCACCCACAATCTCATGTTATAAACAATACAAAACAAATCATTCAGACACAAGTTTCTTGGCATTTTCCACACAACACATTTTTTTATATAGACTGTTATCTCATCTGTTAATAACAGGAAAAACAACTAATTTTTACGAAGTGTCTTAAGATTTGCATATCAATTGACTGAAAGTTTAAATCTATGTGATGACGACGAGACTTAACTATAGACCAAAACTAAAAACAACAATGTCTTATTCAGTTGTAGCATACTATCGTCTATGGATATATTTCTTCCTATTCTGCCAACAAGCAAGCTATGATTATCTCAAACCCAATAATCCAATAGGAGAAGTTAAAATGAGAATAACAAAAGAAGAAAAGAAAAGGTACATGTTGGCCTTTGTCCGAAGCTAATATGGTTGTGGCCTTGCATGTGGCCTGGTGAATTATGTTTTTTTACCCTATATGAATTAAGTAAGTTTTCTTCTATTAACTGCATTTCAGAATGGTATATAAGTTTGGTCCAATCAAACTAACCAGAGAACTTATATTCGAAATTGTGATCCCTCAAGCAGGATGATGAATGTGTTCAAGATTGCATGTGACATCTAGAGTTGTATATATAGCTTCTTAATGGTGTGGACGGAGTGATAGGTTTATATATTATAATCAAAAGCGTTGCAATCTCTTATTTTTAAGGCAAAATAGAAAAACTAAATCGGTTTCAAAAATTCAAGACTCGTTATATAAAAAAAAAAAAAAAAAAAATACTGGAGACTAGCTACTTGCAAACCAATAAAAGGGACATGACAACAAAAATAAAGAAAATAAGAAAATTATAAGACTTTACAAAAAAAAAAAAAAAAAAAAAAATTTATAAGACAAAAGAACTTGAAAATCAAACAGTCGCTCATTGGCCACAGGATAAAAGCAAACTGGCAGCACTATTATTGGTTATGGTTTCTGAAGTGGTTTTGGGTTTGCGTTTGCGTTTCTATAAAAACGTAATAAAAGAGAAGAAAAAAAAAGTAGGGCCTTGATTTTGTCGTGTGTGAGTTGGGCGATGATATGATATTAATAGGCCTAATTTGGGCTCAATGAGGCCATTTTAGGTGATAACTCTACTGCCAATAACGGGCTTAAGGCGTTTGATGATGCTAAACTCCTTTACAAAAAGATAGCTTTACACATTAATGTTACCGCCTGAACAGTGTTTAGCCTCTGACTGGATTCTCTGCATCTCCGACACATTGCCGTTAAAGATCATAAGCTAAATCGACACCATATATGTATAATAAGATATTAAATTATTATAATAAGATATCACAAAGGAGTATATAAAAACTAAAATCATAAGCTAAATCGACACCATATATGTTTATAAGATTTTAATTTTGAATAACCCTAATGACAACACCATGTTGAGGCTCTACAAGCATTCTAAACACTGGAGAGTGTTGATATGTGGGAGACAGAGTAAAACTAAACCTTGACACAATAAGTGACACGAGAACCTTGAGTTCCATCATACCAAAGTTTTTTCCTAGGCACAACCTTGTCCCTAATCCAAATGGGACGAAGCATTGAGGGTATTTACATGCTTTCGAGACTCCTTCGCTGAATCTCTCTGGCCTAAATTCATTTGCATCATCTCCCCATATCTCCGGGTCTCTGTGCAATGTAGGGATCAATGTCCAGATGCACAGTCCCTTTGGCACCACGAGGTTTCCGAGTTTCGTGTCCGCAAGGGCTTCTCTTGACACGAATGCTGCTGGTGGGTATAGCCTCAATGTTTCTTGGATAACCATTGTCACCTATATTTATATATATGCAAGAGAGGTTAGGTTCTGAAAATGGCCATACTTGGAATGGAGAGGTCAAGAGACTTGATATAAGGTTGGACTATTACCGTTTTGAGGTTGGAAATAGAGTCTGCGTCAGGAATACCGTTCTTGCAGAAACGAAAGACTTCTTCACGAATCCGAGTTTGCCAGGAAGGGTTGAGAGCGAGGAGCATAAGACACCAAGAGACAGCAACCGCACTGGTCTCATGGCCGGCGAAATAGATGCTCTTACAATTGTCCACCACGAAACCCCTGTAAGACGATGTCTTGTCCTCCAAGCTACTACTCATAGCACCTTCAAGTATCAATTGCATTAAATCCTTCTTGTGATCTCCTACGCATTCCTTTTCTCTCTCCTTAACAGTTTCCCATATCAAAGAATCCACATGCTTCTCTAGCTCCTCAATCTTCTCTTTTCCATGCTTCTTGGTCCCGAACACAGAATCACTTGCAACCATATACACACTTAACGATATTCAACAAGATTACATTTCCTTATTGTATATAGAGAAAGAAATGGTTCTTGATCCACTTACGTGAAGCCATTGAGGCTGAAGAGGAAGTTGTGGTGAGTGATGGCCTTTTGAAGACATCTAAGCTTAGAAAAGATCTCTTTGCCTTTGGAGAAAGAGCTCCCAAAGCAAGCTCTAGAGATGACGTCAGCAGAGACAGCTCTTAGATCCTCGTCCACTCTTATGTCACAAAACAATTCTCCTTGCACCATGTCTTCCCATTTGCTAAGCATTGGCATCGCGGATTCCACCATCAACCCAACCATTCCCTTGACTTTGTCAAGAAAGAACTCAGGGGCAATGATACGGCGTTGATGGGCCCAATGAGGCCCATTAGAGGTGATGACGCCACGGCCGAGAATGGACTTAAGGCGTTTGGTGACGTAGGAGACTTTGCCAAGGTTAAGAGTGTTGGCTTGGTTAAGCTCTTTCACCACCTCCGGGTGGTTCATGTACAAGTGTTGCTTCACACCCGTCGAGTACGTGTACACCCTCCCTTTATCATAATTTTTTGTATTTTCAGTAAATTACTTACACAAAATAACAGTAAATTTTAAAAACATAGTTGTTAGATATTCCCACACAAAAAAAGTTAGATATTGGATGGGTGTGTAAAAAACGGCGACAATCCAAACTTAGCTCTTCTCTCAATCAACTGAAGTGGTTTAAAGTTTAAACTAACCAATCCACGCGTGCTAGTGACGTGACAGCTTCTTTTGTATTTAACAAATTAAATGTTAAATTAACTTAAAAATATATCTTATTATATATATTACTAGGAAAAAAGGAATCAG